AGGTGAGTCTCTTCTTGTGATTTATCATTCCATTCAAATTTTTTCGATTTGCATATACAGGGTGACTGAAAAAAATTATTGAATGCGTCAATTGATTTTATTGATTTAATCAGGATTTACAGAACCGAATGCTTTGAAATCTTGGAGATGTTTTAAAGTTATTATAAGCATGGTAAATTTTTTATCAAAATGTATTTGCTCATCCCCCCTAAAAAATTGATGACGTCACCCCAAAAGTTTGCTGAATAAATCCTATCTAAAATGTACAAAATATGATGAGTCTGTACTTGTGGTTTATCATTCCATTCATATTTTTGGATTTGCATATACAGTGTGACTCAAAAAAATTAATGAATGCGTGAATTTATTTGATCGATTTAATCAGGAATTACAAAACCGAATGCTTTGAAATCTTGGAGATATTTTAAAGTTATTATAAGCATGGTAAACTTTTGTTCAAAATGTATTTGTTCATCCCTTCTAAAAAAATTGGTGACGTCACCCTTAAATTTTGCTAAATAAATCCTATCTAAAATGCAGAAAATATGATGAGTTTGTACTTGTGATTTATCATTCCATTCATATTTTTTAGATTTTCTTAAAGGGTGGCTCAAAAAAATTAATGAAGTCAATTTATTTTATTGATCAAATTAAAGGCAACACTTATTATTAGTATTACATTGGACCAACCCAATTTGGTAGACACAAAATTTTTTAAAGTTAAAACTCGGTTGAAACATAGCTGACTAGGTTCCGCGAATATGGTATAGACATGTTTTAAATCAACCAATTGTGAATTCCACCGTCAAAAATTAAAATAAAATCCAATGTTTTATATAATAAGCGGAAGTCGACGCAATAAAACCGATTGTCGTTTTGTTTACAGTTTCTTTGTTTGACTCTCACGTATGCTGTTACGCCTGTCATCTTAAATTAAGAATGTTTATACATAGACGATTTTCAGTTGCCTCTGATATGTATACGTGAGTAAATTGTTTCGTTATTTTATTGATTATTACAAATCAATATTCAAAACGACCCAATTCATTTTCCCGAAAATTTGAGAATATACTAATTTTATTCTTAGTATTACACTACATCTATCCCAACTGATATACGTGTCCTTGCAAAAATGTTGATGACGTCATCGCAATTTTTTTTTAAATTCCCACTACAAAAATGTAATGAGAAAAAAAAACACAATAGGCATGCAGTCGTCAAGTTTCCGACAGCGAGGGAAGTACTGTCTAAACTCTTTAGACCAATTTTTTAATTTGTAGATATTTTAATTTTTCGATTTTCTAATTTGCTTTTTATCTTTTCGATTTTCTATCTGCTGATTTTACAATTTTTCGTTTTCTCGATTTTTCAATTTCTCGATTTTTAATTTATCACTTTTCAGGTTTCACTGTTACAAATTTTCAATTTTACAGTTTCTAACTTTTTCTCAGTTGTTCCATTTCTTAATTGCTTTTTTCGTTACCCAATTTTCAGTTTGCCAATTTTTTAAAATTTCGATATTTCAAGTTTGGTATTTCAATTTTTGATTTTGAATTTTTCATTTCTTCGATTTTTCCATTTTTAATTTTTTTTTTTTCAAATTTACAATTTTGTAATTGTTTCATTTTTAAATTTGCCGATTTTTATTTTAACTTGTTTCTCGATTCTTCAATTTTTCGTTTCTTCAATTTTTCGATTTTTTTTTTGTTTTTCGGTTTTCTTAATTTTCTAATTTTTCAGTTGACCTCTTTTAAATTTTGAAATTCATAGTTTCTGGATTTTTAGATATAATTTTTCGTTTCTTCAATGTCTCGATCTTTTTGTTTCTTGATGGTTCAGTGTTACGTTTCTTCAATTTTCCGATTTGATTTTTTGGTTTTTCCACTTGTTTCTTCAATTTCTCGTTTACTTTGTTTCTCTATTTTCCAATTTATCGTTTGTTCATTTTTTGAATTGCGATGTTTTAATTTTGCATTTCTTCAATTTTCGATCTTTGTTTCTGGGTTTTTTTAATTTTTTGGTAAAATTTTCCGTTTCTTCAATTTTTCGATGAGAATTTTGTGTTATTTTTTTTGTCAGTTTTTAGATGTAATCTTTTATATCTTCAATTTTTTGATTCTTTTGTTTCTCTTTTTTTTAATGTTTCATTTTTCAATTTTACGTTTTCTCATTTTTCGGTTTTTAATTTTCTAATTTTTAATAAACCTTTTTTTCCACTTTTGAAATATGTAATTTTTAGATTTCTAGACATAATTTTTCGTTTCTTCAATTTTTCGATTCGGTTTTTTAGTTTTTTTACTTGTTTCTTCAATTTTTCGTTTACTTTGTCGTTTTATCAATTTTTCGTTTCTTACGTCTTCTGTCTGTTTCTCGATTTTCCAATTTATTGTTTCTTCAGTTTTGCGATTTTTTTGTTTCTTGTTTCGTTTTTCAATTGTACAATTTCTCAATTTTTCTATAAACTTTTTTCACTTTTGAAATCCGTAGTTTCTCGATTTTTTTATTTTTCATTTCTTCAATTTTTCGATTTTAAGTGTCAAATAGGTCTAACTTTTGGTATTTTTGATGTTACAATTTTTTAATTTTTCCATGTTTCGTTTTTACAATTTGTTAATATTTTAGTTTTCGGGTTTTCATTTTAAAATTTTTGAATTTTGAATTTTTGTTTTTCGTTTTTTCAATTTTTAACTTCTTAATTGTTACTTAATCAGGGTTTTCAGGTTTCAATATTACAATTTTTCGATTTTTCAATTTTTCAATATTTCCAAGTTTCATTTTAAAATCTTTGGATTTTGAAACTAAAAATTTTCGTATTTTTGATTATTTAATTTATAGAAATTTTTGTTTTTCGTTTTTTTCAATTTTTCAATTTCTCGATTTTTAATTAATCAGAGTTTTCAGGTTTCTATACTACAATTTTTGGATTTTTCAATTGTTTTTTCAATTATCCGCTTATTTAATTTCTCATTTTTTTCAGTTTTCAATTTTTCAATTTTAAAATTTTTGGATATTTCAAGTTTAATTTTTCAATTTTTGATTTTCATTTTTTCGGTTTTTTCAATTTTCCTTTATTTTTTCAATTCTTGGACTGCTCAATTTTTTAATTTTTTGATTTTTCAGTTTTATAATTTTTAGGGAATTTCGGTTTGAATAAATTTGTCCCTTTTTACAATTTCTTAGTATTTTAGTTTTCCGGTTTTCATTTTAAAATTTTTAGATTTTGAAATTAATTTTTTTTTGTAATTTTGATAGTTTAATTTATAGAAGTATTTGTTTTTCGTTTTTTCAGTTTTTCATTTTCTCGATTTTTAATTAACCAGGGTTTTCAGTTTTCTATATTACAATTTTTCGATTTTTCAATTGTTTTTTCAATTACCCCATTGTTCAATTTCTCAATTTTTCAATTTTTAAATTTTTCGATAGTTCAAGTTTCATTTTGTTTGTTTAACATTACGTCTCATTATTTTCATTTTGTAACTAAAAATTTTCGTATTTTTGATTATTTAATTTATACAAATTTTTGTTTTTTTTTCAGTTTTTCAATTTCTCGATTTTTAATTAATCAGGGTTTTCAGTTTTCTATATTACAATTTTTCGATTTTTCAATTGTTTTTTCAATTATCGGCTTATTTAATTTCTCATTTTTTTCATTTTTCGATTTTTCAATTTTTAAATTTTTCGATAGTTCAAGTTTCATTTTGTTTGTTTAACATTATGTCTCATTATTTTCATTTTATAACTAAAAATTTTCGTATTTTTGATTATTTAATTTATACAAATTTTTGTTTTTCGTTTTTTTTTTCAATTATCCGCTTATTTAATTTCTCATTTTTTTAATTTTTTGATTTTTCAATTTTAACATTTTTGGATATTTCAAGTTTAAATTTTCAATTTTTGATTTTCATTTTTTCGGTTTTTTCAATTTTCCTTTATTTTTTCAATTCTTCGACTGCTCAATTTTTTAATTTTTTGAGAATTTCGGTTTGAATAAATTTGTCCTTTTTACAATTTCTTAGTATTTTAGTGTTCCGGTTTTCATTTTAAAATTTTTGGATTTTGAAATTATTTTTTTTTGTATTTTTGATTGTTTATTTAATAGAAGTTTTTGTTTTTCGTTTTTTCAATTTTTCACTTTCTCGATATTTAGTTAAACAGGGTTTTCAGGTTTCAATATTACAATTTTTCGATCTTTCAATTGTTTTTTCAATTATCCACTTGTTTAATTTCTCATTTTTTTGATTTTTCGATTTTTCAATTTTGCAATTTTTGGATATTTCAAGTTTCATTTTTTAATTTTTGATTCTCATTTTTTCGGTTTTTTCAATTTTTCTTTATTTTTTCGATTCTTCGACTTCTCAATTTTTAAATTTTCTCATTTTTCATATTTTTCACATTTTCATGTTTGAATAAATTTGTGCTTTTGTTGAATAATTAAAAAATGAAAAATCGAGAAAATAAAGAATTAAAAATTGAGAATTTGAGAAATTTTATAACGAAAAACTGCAAAATTGTTTCTTTTGTTGATTTTTCCATTTTTCGATTTTTAATTATTTTAGGATTTTTCGGTTTTTCAAAAGTTCAGTTTGAATAAATTTGTCCTTTTTTTGAACAATTAAAAAATGAAAATTCGAGAATTTGATTTTTTACTTTTTCGATTTTTATTTTGAAATTTTTGGATTTTTCATTTTAAAATTGTTATATTCTTTACTGTTTCAATGATACAATTTTCCGATTTTCAAATATTTTAGTTTGGTTATTATGTTTATTGTCCTAAAAAAGGACTCCTATAAGTTTTTTATTATTTTTGGGACTCCCGAACGCCTGTCCATAACGTACTAAAGAGTTAATCCGCCATTTTCCAGACACCCGGTATAGTTTTTCATGACAAGAACATTCTTAAAAACCTAAATTAATTTATATGATATAACTCAAGATTAATCATGTTTGTTTTTCAGTGATTGCTAAAATTGTCACTGATTAGATAACTTATTTCTTACATAAGATCGAAGTCATAAAGTAATCAAGCAAAACACTCTCGAACATCTCCTTAGTTGTGTTGTATAAAAAATTACAAGATAATGCCAACCGTAGAAAAAATAACCGAAAGTTGTGGCCTGGGTGAAGGACCACACTGGGATATTCCCAGCCAAAGTTTACTGTTTATTGACGTAGTAGGAAATCGTATTCTGAAGTACACACCATCGACCAAGAAACTGATAAAGGTTCCAGTTGGTAAGCATTTTCTCTTTGTTACAATAAAATGGGTATATCAGTTATCCCTTTTTTTAGCAAAACGACCTACATTTATTATACCCGTGGAAGGAAAAACTAACGAATTCCTTTTATCACAAGAGAACGAACTGGTTGTAGTATCTTGGGACGGCGAAAGTGAAAACGTGAAAATAGTGCAAAAAATTTGCGAAGTGGCGGCTTCAGCAGAAAGTCGAAAGACTTTCAATGATGCTAAGTGTGATTCGTCTGGAAGACTATGGACCGGTAATGACTTAACGACTGACAAAACGAATCAAAAGTACGTTTTTTCCTAGGAACTTTTACCATTGGAGACGACTTCTTCAAAACCCAGCCTGTAGGCAATCTGTACAGTATTGATGCGACAAAACAACTCAAAAACCACGCTGATAAAATCCACTGTTCTAATGGAATAGCGTTCAATAACAAAACCAAGAAAATGTTCTACATCGACTCTTTGGCAGGCAGCGTTGACCAATTCGACTTTGACATTTCTAGTGGCACCATCTGTAAGAAATTTTAACTAAAAAAAATTGACTATTTTTATAAAAATATTGCAGCCAACAGGAAAGTTTGGTTTACTTTACAAAAAGTATCCATCCCCGGTGTCCCCGATGGCATGACCATGGACTCTGAAGGCAATCTATGGGTCGCAGTTTTCGGAGGAAGTTGTGTGTTGAAAATCGACGGCTACAAATGCGAAACTTTGCTCGATACAGTTAAAATTCCTGCTGAAAACGTACTTAGACAACTATTTTTTTGAAAAAGTTTTGTACAACGGACAGTTTTACAGGTAACTTCTGTAGCTTTCGGAGGACCAAATTTGGATGAGTTGTATGTAACCACAGCGTATATAGGGTCTGAAGAGACGAAACCAAGTGATCTTGCTGCAGGTGCCATTTATAGAGTTACAGGACTTGAGGTTAAAGGCGTCCCAGCTGTTAATTTTAGACTAACTGTTTAAATTTTGCAGTTGTTTTGTCAAAATGTAACAATCAGAAGTCAATAATAAAGCTAAATCATAGATTAATATAGATGCGACACACAGGCTGATTTTGCAAAACCACCCTTATTGACATTGGAGTCCTCAACCGCCAAAGGCAAGCGCCAAATTTAAATATTCGGTGCCAATCAAAAAACTTCATTTTTTTTCGTTTTTAGTGACAATTTTTGTGGTTGTTTTCGATACACTGTATGACATTAACAGTGAGAAAAAAAACAATTAAAATAGTCGAAAATTCGAAAAATCGAGAAATCTTAATAATCGAAAAATCGAAACCTTAAAAAATCGTAAAACCAAAACATTGAAAAATCAAAAAATGTAAAATTTAAAAATCAAATAACGAAAAATCGAGAAATCGAAACTCCCAAATTTAAAAAATCGGATAACTGAAAAATCGAAACATCGAAAAACTGAGAAATCGAAAAATCAAAAGATCAAGAAATCGTGGAGTCGAAAAGTCGAACAATTGATAAACTGAAATATTGTCAAAATTGAAAAGTTAAAAATTGAACAATTTATAAATTGAGAAATTGACAATCAAAATATCGAAAAATCCAAATCTCGATAATCGAAAAATCAAAAGACTTAAAAATTCGAAAAATCGAAAAATTGAGAGATTGAAAGATTCAAAGAACGAGAAATCGAAAAGTGATGAAGTCGAAAAATCGAAAAATAGAGAAATCGCCAAACAAAAAGTTAAAAGTTGTAAACTGGAAAAGCGGAAAATCAAAAAACGAAAAAATGGAAAACTGGAAAAACTGAGAAACCGAAATAGGCCAAAATAAAAAATTGAAAAAATGATAAATCGAAAATATGAACAATCAAATGTCGATAAATCGGGAATCAAAAATTAACAAATCGAAAAATTGAAAAACAGAACATCTAAAACCAGGAAGTCGAAAAATAGAAATATTAAGAAATATTGAAAAATTAAAATATCAAAAGATTGAAAAATCTAAAATTTTAAAATCGAAAAATGGAAAAATCGAAAAACTAAAAAGGTAGACACATCGAAAAACCCAGAAGTCAAAAATAGAAAAGCCGAAGAATTGAAATATTGAAAAATCCTAAAACTGAAATATCTAAAAACTGAAAAATCGGATAATCAAATTAAAAGTGAAGTCGAAAAATAGAAACCTTAAAAAATCGAAAAACTGAAAAATCAAAAACCTGAAAAATCAAAAAATTAAAGAATTGAAGAACAGGAAAATCGAAACATCGATTAATTGAAAAATCGAAAAATTAAGAGTTTATAAAAGTCAAATTTGAAAAATTAAAAAATCGATGACAATTGAAAAACACAAAATCTAAAACCGGGAAATCGAAAAATCAAAAGACTAAGAAATCGAAACATTTGAAAAATTCGGAAACTTGAAAAATTGAAATGTCGAAGAACTGAAATGAAAAATCGAGAATCGAAAAATCTAAAATTTTAAAAATAAAAAATCTAAAATTTAAAAATCGAAAAAGTAAAAAAATCGACACATCGAAAAATCCAGGAGTCAAAAATCGAAAAGCCGAAGAATCGAAATATTGAAAAATCCGAAAACTGAAATATCCAAAAACTGAGAAACTAAAAAGTTGAAAAATTGAGCAATAGAAAAATCCAAAAAGTGAAGTCGAAAAATTGAAACCTTAGAAAAATTAAAAAATAAAAAATCGAAAACCTGAAAAATAGAAAAATTAAAGAATCGAAGAACAGGAATATCGAAACCCTCGAAAGTCAAGAAATTGACAATTTATAAATGTCAAATTTGAAAAATTGAAAAATCGAAAATTTGAAAAAACGACAATTGAAAAACAGAAAATCTAAAACCGGTAAGTCGAAAAATCGAAAGATTAAGAAATCGAAACATTTGAAAAATTGAAATATGGAAGAGCTGAAATGAAAAATCGAGAAATGGAAAAATCTAAAATTTTAAATATTGAAAATTTAAAATACCAAAAAATTGAGAAATCTAGAATTTAAAAATCGAAAAAGTAAAATGTCGACACGTCGAAAAATTGAGAAGTCAAAAGTGAAAAAGTCGAAGAACAGAAATTTTGAAAAATCCCAATACTGAAATATCGAAAAACTGAAAAATGAAAGAAAAACTGAAAAATCCCAACACTGAAATATCCAAAAACTGAGAATCTAAGAATGGAAAAATTGAGAAATCGAAAAATAAAAAAAGTGAAGTTGAAAAATCGAAACCTGAAAAAATAGAAAAATTGAAAAACCAAAAAACATTAACTGAAAAATCGACAAATAAAGGGTTTATAAAAGTCAAAAATTGAAAAATCTAAATATTTAAAAATCGTAAAATTGAAGAGAAAAGCTGAAAACCGAGAAATTGTAAAATCCAAAAATTGAAAAATCGAAAAAGTAAAAAAATCGACACATCGAAAAATCGAAATATTGAAAAATCCCAAACTGAAATATCGAAAAACTGAAAAATGAAAGAAAAACTAAAAATGGGAAACTAAATCGAGAAATCAAAACATTGAAAAATCGAAAAATTTAAAACGACAATTGAAAGCAGAAAATCTAAAACCGGGAAGTCGAAAAATCAAAAGATTAAGAAATCGAAACATTTGAAAAATTGAAATATGGAAGAGCTGAAATGAAAAATCGAGAAATGGAAAAATCTAAAATTTTAAATATTGAAAAGTTAAAATACCAAAAAATTGAGAAATCTAAAATTTAAAAATCGAAAAAGTAAAAAGTCGACACATCGAAAAACACTGAAATATCCAAAAACTGAGAATCTAAAGAATGGAAAAATTGAGAAATCGAAAAATCAAAAAAGTGAAATTGAAAAATCGAAACCTGAAAAAATTGAAAAACCAAAAACATTAATTGAAAAATCGACAAATAAAGAGTTTATAACAGTCAAAAATTGAAAAATCGAAATATTTAAAAATCGTAAAATTGAAGAGAAAAACTGAAAACCGAGAAATTGAAAAATTGAGAAATTGTAAAATCGAAAAATTGAAAAATAAATAGGAGTAAACTGAAAAGTCCCCAAACTAAAATTTCGAAAAACTGAGAATTCGAAAGTTGAAACAGCAGAACTTATGGTCGAAATCGGTTAGGATGTGTATCAGATCACGGATCATGGCTTATAAATCAATTCGTTTCCGAACGCTTAGAGTCGACATTGGCCTGAGTGCGCTTTGGTCTGTAGATCAAACAAGTTCTCAGACGACGAACTGTAATTCGTGTGACCTGAATTAAAGTGAAGGAAACAGTAAGCAGCTTGTAATATTCTGGTAAATATAGTGTCAATTTGTCGAAAGTAAAGTCGCTTCTCTAAGTTCTCTGGCTAAATGGATTTAAAAATTTAAAACAACTCCAGATAAATTATGTGTTTTGTTTTCGAGTGAACGATGAGTCTAATTGATTAGATAATTCATTGTTTATATAAAAGATCGATGTTATTTATAGCCACTGACAAGTCCAACTTCTTACTAGTTGTATCAAAAATTATCTAAACAATGCCAACTGTAGAAAAAGTAACTGAAAGCTGTGGTTTGGGGGAAGGACCCCATTGGGACGCTTCCAGTCAAAGTTTGTTTTTGGTTGACGTACCAAGAAAACAGATACTGAAGTATACACCATCGACCAACAAACTGACGAAAGTTACACTTGGTAAGAATTGACAACTGATTACTGTTATTTATTTATTGATTTATTTTTTAGAAAAACAAGCTTCATTTGTAATACCTGTAGACGGAAAAAAGAACGAATTCGTTATTTCACAAGGAAACGAACTGGCTATAATATCCTGGGACGGCGAAAGTGACAACATCAAAATCGTGCAAAATATCTGTGGAGTGGAGACTTCAACCGAAACCCCGAAATCATTCAACGACGCTAAATGTGACTCCTTGGGGAAACTATGGGCGGGTAATTAACAATACACACAAAAAGAACCCAAAATTGACCATTTTTCCCCTAGGAACTCTCAGCATCGCCGCAGACTTCGCCAAAACCCAACCCGTAGGCACTCTATACAGTATTGACACCAAAAAGCAACTCAAAAGTCACGTCGACAAAATCTTCTGCTCCAATGGACTAGCCTTCAACGACCAAACACAGAAAATGTTTTACATCGACTCTTTGGCAGGCAGCGTTGACCAGTTTGACTTTGATCTAGCCAGTGCCACCATCTGTAAGAAATTAAAACACTACTATTAACCATTTTGACAGACAGATTACAGCCAACCGAAAACCCTGGTTTACTTTAAAAAAATTGGGCATCCCTGGTTTTCCCGACGGAATGACCATAGATTCCGATGGCAATCTATGGGTCGCAGTTTTCGGAGGAAGTCGTGTACTGAAACTGGATGGTCATAAATCTGAAACTTTGCTGGACACGGTTAACATTCAGACTGAACAGGTTGGCATTTTTTGGGTTGTGAAAAATTTTGTACAGGGGGATTTTACAGGTAACTTCTGTGGCTTTCGGGGGACCAAATTTGGATGAGCTGTACGTCACTACAGGGGGTATAGAATTCGGAGAAATGAAACCAAGTGGTCCTGGTGCGGGTGCTGTATACAGGGTTACAGGACTTGGAACTAAAGGCCTCCCAGCTGTTAATTTTAAACTTAATGTGTAAATTTACATCTGTTGTGTAATATTTTTTAATTGCAATAAAATGCATCGTAATGGTTTGGATAAGAGATCAAAAGATTATACAAGTGTTTCAATGCCACATTATTGCTATCTATCTATTGAATCTAATGGAACAAATTTGACGATCACTTAAATAAAAAAAAAAAATCATCTCAAGATCATTTATGCTTGTTTTATATCTACCGACGAGCTGATTAGATAATTCAACTACAAACAATATTTTAGTTATAGTAGTACGAAATCAGTGAAGCACAATGGTAACAGTAGAAAGAATTGTCGAGGGTTGTATGCTTGGGGAAGGTCCCCACTGGGACGTAGCCACCCAAAGTCTCTACTTTATCGACTTAATAGACAAAAACATCCTAAAATATACTCCATCTACAAAGAAACTATCTAAAGTACCAGTTGGTAAAATTTTTTCGTATTGAGGTATTAAATAATACAATTTTGTTAAAATTTATTTGTTTATTTTAGAAAAAGCACCCTCATTTATTATACCCGTTGAAGGCGAAACCAACCAGTTTATTATATCACAACAAAACGAACTTGTTATAATATCATGGGACGACGAAAGCAACAATATAAAAATTCTACAGAAAATATGTGGAGTTGAGACTCCAGCAGAAACTCCAAAACTCTTTAATGATGCAAAATGTGACTGCTCTGGAAGACTATGGGCTGGTAACAATTTATACTAATTTTGAAAACCCAAACGACAATTTTTTCAGGTGCCCACAGCATTGCTAGCGATTTCGCCAAAACCGAGCCTTTGGGTGCTCTATACAGCGTCTAAACCACAAAACAACTCAAAAGTCACGTCGACCAAATACGTTGCTCCAACGGAATTGCTTTCAACAACGAAAGTAAAAAAATGTTTTACATAGATTCTTTGGGAGGGGTTGATCGATTTGATTTTGACGCCACCTCTGGCACTATTTGTATGTATATATCTTAGTTTCAGAGTTTGAACATTTTAATAAGTGGGTTTTAGCTAACAGGGTACGTTGGTTCACTTTGGAAAAATTGGGCATCCCGGGTATTCCCGATGGTATGACTATAGACTCAGATGGTAATCTGTGGGTCGCTGTTGTTGGGGCAAGTCGGGTTGTCAAAGTTGATGGTAGTAAAAGTGAAACTTTGTTGGATACTGTGAATATTCCGACTGAACAGGTTGGTATTTTTTTGTGTAACGAAATCTACAATTGTGGTTACTTCTAGGTGACTTCTGTGACTTTTGGTGGACAAAATTTGGACGAATTATATGTCACTACAGGTTTTATATACTTCAGAGGAGTAAAACCAAGTCGTCCTGCTGCTGGGGCTATTTACAGAGTAACAGGACTTGGTGTCCAAGGTCTTCCAGCGGCTAATTTCAAACTAAATGATTAACACGATATCTATTCTGTTATTTATCACTAGAACATCCGTTGTATCCTCCTGATTAGATAAATGTACTTGTACTTATATAAAAGATAAAACTTTTAGTTTTCTGTGTTATAAAATATCTGAACATGCCAACAGTGGAAAAAATAACTGATAGTTGTACTTCACTTGGTGAAGGACCCCACTGGGACGTTTCCAGTCAAAGTTTATATTTTGTCGACATATCCGGAAAACAAATACTCAAGTATACGCCATCGACCAACAAACTTACTAAAGCGACAATTGGTACATTTTTTGTTATACTAGACTATTTATGATTTCATTTTTTTCGTAGAAAAATCACCTTCTTTTATTATACCCATCGAAAACAAAAAGAACCAATTTCTCGTATCACTACGAAACGATTTAGCAGTTGTATCCTGGGACGGCGAAAGTGAAGATGTTAAAATATTAGAAAACATCTGTGGAGTGGAGACCTCTGAAGAAACGCCATACGTTTTCAATGACGCAAAATGCGATTCTTCTGGAAGATTGTGGGTTGGTAAGTTGTAAACTGCAACACATACGAAATATACTGTGGTGACCGAATTTGAATCAAAATTTCGCGCTGAAAAAAATTCTTGCGGTTTTTTCCAACGACGCTAACACATGTATAAATTTGTTTTATTGTTTGTAAATTCACAGTTCATGTTAGGAGTTTAATCGTTAACTAGTTTTAACACAATTTAACAATCAGGAATTTGTTTAGATAAACACTTGCTAGGAGATTTCGTGAAATTCACTTAGTCAGGACTCGTTTGATTTTGTTTATTTAATTATGAATAAGTCTCTGGACTCTTATACATAGTAACACTTCTTAATTCTTCACACAAGATTAAAGATTTCTCTACTTAGACAGTTATCATCATTATTATCATTGTTTATTGATCATGTGTTTTGTGTGGGATAAACAGTCCACGATATAAACTCTCAAAGCTAATTGTTTTACAGAATTATCGAAATTTTTGAAATTTACAAAAATTCGCGATTCATACTGATTCTTTCAAAAATGTTACTCCGTTACCATCAACATGCTATATTTTTGGAACCTGCATGTCGAGATCTACGTCCCTGAATTTTTTCACGATTTTTAGACAACTTTTTTAAAAGTGAAATTTTTCCAATACTCCGCCCTTCTTCAAATTTCGGCCAATTTTTGACATTTTCGAAACTCAACTAAATACATTTTCTTGTAGATTTAGAACTCTAGAACTCACTTCCGGCCTCGTCTCTTTGATAACGATTCGAAACTTCACTAAATATATAGAACTCCTTCCGGCCTTGTTTCTTTAATATATCTAATCATTTTTCTAGAATCGACAGTTTAAATCTCGAAATTTTTGGAAATTTTGAAAAATATGTCTTTAAAACCGCACATTTTGAAAATGTTGCGGGATGAGCATATATGCGTCATATTTTTGGAATTAGCACGTCGAGATCTACATCCCTGAATTTTTTGAGTATTTTTAGACAACTTCTTTAAAAGTGAAATTTTTCCAATACTCCCCCCTTCTTCAAATTTCGGACCATTTTTGACCATTTTCGAAACTTCACTAAATATATTTTCTTGTAGATTTCGGGCCCTAGAACTCACTTCCGGCCTTGTTTCTTTAATATATCTAATAGTTTTTCTAGAATCGACCGTTGAAATTTCGAAATTTTTAGAAATTTTGAAAAATTTGTCTTTAAAACTGCACATTTTGAAAATGTTGCGGCATGAACATATATGCGTCATATTTTTGGAATTAGCACGTCGAGATCTACATCCCTGAATTTTTTGAGTATTTTTAGACAACTTCTTTAACAGTGAAATTTTTCCAATACTTCCCCCTTCTTCAAATTTCGGACCATTTTTGATCATTTTCGAAACTTCACTAAATATATTTTCTTGTAAATTTCGAGCCCTGGAACTCACTTTCGATCTTGTTTTGTTCATATCTCCAACAGTTTTTCTAGAATCGACCGTTGAAATCTCGAAATTTTTGGAAATATTGAAAAATTTTTCTTTAAAACCGCACATTTTGAAAAAGTTGCGGGATGAACATATATGCGTCATATTTTTGGAATTAGCACGTCGAGATCTACATCCCTGAATTTTTTGAGTAGTTTTAGACAACTTCTTTAAAAGTGAAATTTTTCCAATACTCCCCCCTTCTCCAAATTTCGGACCATTTTTGACCATTTTCGAAACTTCATTAAATATAATTTCTTGTAGATTTCGGGCCCTAGAACTCACTTCCGGCCTTGTTTCTTTAATATATCTAATAGTTTTTCGAGAATCGACAGTTTAAATCTCGAAATTTTTAGATATTTTGAAAAATTTGTCTTTAAAACCGCACATTTTGAAAATGTTGCGAGTTGAACATATAAGCGTCATATTTTTGGAATTAGCACGTCGAGATCTACATCCTTGAATTTTTTGAGTAGTTTTAGACAACTTCTTTAAAAGTGAAATTTTTCCAATACTCCCCCCTTCTCCAAATTTCGGACCATTTTTGACCATTTTCGAAACTTCATTAAATATAATTTCTTGTAGATTTCGGGCCCTAGAACTCACTTCCGGCCTTGTTTCTTTAATATATCTAATAGTTTTTCGAGAATCGACAGTTTAAATCTCGAAATTTTTAGATATTTTGAAAAATTTGTCTTTAAAACCGCACATTTTGAAAATGTTGCGAGTTGAACATATAAGCGTCATATTTTTGGAATTAGCACGTCGAGATCTACATCCCTGAATTTTTTTAGTATTTTTAGACAACTTCTTTAAAAGTGAAATTTTTCCAATACTCCCCCCTTCTTCTAATTTCGGCCCATTTTTGACCATTTTCGAAACTTCACTAAATATATTTTGTTGTCAATTTCGAGCCCTGGAACTCACTTCCGATCTTGTTTCATTCATATCTCCAACAGTTTTTCTAGAATCGACCGTTGAAATTTCGAAATTTTTGGAAATTTTGAAAAATTTGTCTTTAAAACCGCACATTTTGAAAATGTTGCGGGATGAACATATATGCGTCATATTTTTGGAATTAGCACGTCGAGATCTACATCCCTGATTTTTTTGAGTATTTTTAGACAACTTCTTTAAAAGTGAAATTTTTCCAATACTTCCCCTTCTTCAAATTTCGGCCCATTTTTGACCATTTTCGAAACTTCACTAAATATATTTTCTTGTAGATTTCGGGCCCTGGAACTCACTTCCGAACTTGTTTCATTCATATCTCCAACAGTTTTTCTAGAATCGACCGTTGAAATTCGAAATTTTTGGAAATTTTGAAAAATTTGTCTTTAAAACCGCACATTTTGAAAATGTTGCGGGATGAACATATATCCGTCATATTTTTGGAATTAGCACGTCGAGATCTACATCCCTGAATTTTTTGAGTATTTTTAGACAACTTCTTTAAAAGTGAAATTTTTCCAATACTCCCCCCTTCTTCAAATTTCGGCCCATTTTTGACCATTTTCGAAACTTCACTAAATATATTTTCTTGTAAATTTCGAGCCCTGGAACTCACTTCCGATCTTGTTTCATCTATATCTCCAACAGTTTTTCTAGAATCGACCGTTGAAATTTCGAAATTTTTGGAAATTTTGAAAAATTTGTTTTTAAAACCGCACATTTTGAAAATGTTGCGGGATGAACATATATGCATCATATTTTTGGAATTGTCACGTCGAGATCTAAATCCCTGGATTTTTTGAGTATTTTTAGACAACTTCTTTAAAAGTAAAATTTTTCCAATATTTCCCCCTTCTTCAAATTTCGGCCCATTTTTGACCTTTTTCGAAACTTCACTAAATATATTTTCTTGTAGATTTCGGGCCCTAGAACTCGCTTGCGGCCTTGTATCTTTAATTTATCTAATAGTTTTTCTAGAATCGACAGTTTAAATCTCGAAATTTTTAGAAATTTTGAAAAATTTGTCTTTAAAATCGCACATTTTGAAAATGTTGCGGGATGAACATATATGCGTCATATTTTTGGAATTAGCACGTCGAGATCTGCATCCCTGAATTTTTTGAGTATCTTTAGACAACTTCTTTAAACATCAAATTTTTCCAATACTCCCCCCTTCTTCAAATTTCGGCCCATTTTTGACCATTTTCGAAACTTCACTAAACATATTTTCTTGTAGATTTTGGGCCCTGGAACTCACTTCCGTCCTTGTTTCTTTAATATATCTAATAGTTTTTCAAGAATCGACAGTTTAAATCTCGAAATTTTTGGAAATTTTGAAAAATTTGTCTTTGAAACTGCACATTTTGAAAATGATGCGGGATGAACATATGTGCGTCATATTTTTGGAATTAGCACGTCGAGATCTACATCCCTGGATTTTTTGAGTATTTTTAGACAACTTTTTAAAAGTGAAATTTTTCCATTACTCCCCCCTTCTTCAAACTTTGGCCCATTTTTGACCATTTTCGAAACTTCACTAAATATATTTTCTTGTAAATTTCGGGCCCTAGAACTCACTTCCGGCCTTGTTTCTTTAATATATCTAATAGTTTTTCTAGAATCGACATCGACAGTTTAAATCTCGAAATTTTAGAAATTTTGAAAAATTTGTCTTTAAAACCGCACAGTTTGAAAATGTTGCGGGATGAACATATATGCGTCATATTTTTGGAATTAGCACGTCGAGATCTACATCCCTGAATTTTTTGAGTATTTTTAGACAACTTCTTTAAAAGTGAAATTTTTCCAATACTCCCCCCTTCTTCAAATTTCCGCCAATTTTTGACATTTTCAAAACCTAACTGAATACATTTTCTTGTAGATTTCGAGCTCTAGAACTCACTTCCGGCCTCGTTTCTTTGATAACTCCAACCGTTTTTCTAGAACCGACCGTTGAATTTTTAAGTAACTGTAATCAAGGCATAATTTAACACAATGTAAATTGTTTGTTTGAATCGTTGATAGAGTGTGGCATAATTTAACGTAATGTAAACTTTTTGTTTAAATCTAGGAGACATATTTTTGACGCATTTTTTGAAGGACGCACTCGTCCGACGCCATTTTGAACCTCCATATTGCGTGCTATATTTTTTTATGTGTTTGTTTTAGGGGAATGCAAGACGATGGTCCACAATCCAGCTGAATAACTTCACTTTTTAAAATTTAATCAATAACTCGAATGGACATAAAATATTTATCTCTCAAATTTTAACTTCAGCAATTTTCTTTGTTGTATAATTTAAATTGAACGTAAATTTTCATGATCTGCAGTTTATAATCTCACGTATATTTTTGTCTACACAAATTTTACTTCACACCAGATCTTTTGGTTTTATAAATCTAAGCTAATTTTGTAAATATTTTATTGACTAATGTTTCCATCATATAAATTATCTGATGTCCAATCTTAATCTCAAATAAGAATTATTTTTTAACACTTGTTCGGTGGTAGTTGAATATTAGACTCATTTAAACTGAACATTTAAAATGGAATTGAGGTAAATAACACAGAAACACGTGGTGGAGGCGAAGTGCGCGGTTCCTTATCGAGCTTTCACATGTCAATTTAAGGCGGGATGTTTGAATTATCACAATACTTTTATACAAAATTTTGAACATTTTAGGTGCCCACAGTCTTGCAGCGGACTTTGCCAAAACTCAACCACTGGGTGTTCTATACAGCATCGACTCAACCAAACAACTGAAAATTCACGCCCATAAAATTCGTTGTGCCAACGGAATGGCCTTCAACGACAAAACGAAAAAAATGTTCTTTATAGATTCGTTGGCGGGAAGCGTGGATCAGTTCGATTTTGATATTATCACCTTATCACTGGCACTATTTGTAAGAATCCAAATCGACGTGACTTTTTTTAACACCCAGTTTTAGCCAATAGACGGGTATGGTTTACTTTTAAAAAATTCAGTATCCGTGGTATACCTGATGGTATGACCATAGACTCTGATGGGAATCTATGGGTTGCTGCAGTTGCCGCAGGCCGTGTTTTGAAAGTTGATGGTGGTAAACCGGAAACGTTGCTGGATACCGTACATTTTCCTACTGAATATGTAGATATTTATTACCACACTTATTGAAGTCGTTTAATCAATTAATAATGAGTGTTTTAGGTGACTTCTGTAACTTTTGGGGGACAAAATTTGGATGAATTGTATGTCACCACAGCTCGTGGAGCGTCAGCGGAAATGAAACCCGGTGCTCCTGGAGGCGGTGCCCTTTATAGAGTGACAGAAACCGGTTCTAAAGGGCTTCCAGCAGTTAATTTTAAACTCAGTGATTAATTTTGTTTGATAAGTTCAAATGTCATAATTCTTCTTCATAACACATCTATGCAACCAGTAATACATTTAATATGTATTTTGTACAATTTCAATATGATCAACCAAATTTACAATATTCTTTTTGTTATTTAATATGATTGTCCTTGAAAGTTTAAATGCGTGCGTTATTCTCATCGTCGCACGTTTTTCTACACTGATTAGATAATAGCCTTAGGGTTATATAGCAGACAAAGATTACTAAATAAAAAAGTTGTTTGATATTCTCATAGTTTGTCTATCACTAAGGTGAAAAACGTTATAAAACAATGCCGACAGTGGAAAAAGTAACTGAAGGGTGCGTCCTGGGTGAAGGACCATTCTGGGACATAGCCAGCCAAACCCTGTATTTTGTGGATATATGGGGACAAAAATTATTAAAGTATACACCTTCAACAAAGAAATTCACCAAGGTAGCAGTTGGTAAATTTTTGTCTACTTACCTAAATTATATATATTTTAATTGTTGTCTATTATTAGAAAAACAACCCTCCTTTATAATACCCATCGAAGGTAAAGAAAACGAATTTATCGTATCATTAGGAAACGAAATCGTTATAATATCGTGGGACGGCGAAGATGACAATATACAAATAATAGAAAAACTGTGTGAAGTGGATGCTCCAAAGACCTTTAATGACGGAAGATGCGACTCCTCTGGTAGACTATGGACCGGCGACTACAACATCGCCAAAGACTTTGCCCAAACCCCACCTGTAGGTGCCCTATACAGTCTTGATGCAACCAAACAACTCAAAACTCATATCACAAAAGTGCGTTGTCCCAATGGAATCGCCTTCAATTATAAAACCAAAAAAATGTTCTACATAGACTCTCTAGAAGGCAGGATTGACCACTTTGACTTTGACATCACCACAGGCACTGTCTGTAAGTAGCAATTTACAATTTTAATCTATGATTTTAATGGTTCACTGTCATTGTGGGGACGTTCTAGCCAATAGGCAACCCTGGTTCACCCTTAAGCAACATGACATTCAAGGAGGACCCGATGGCATGACCATAGACTCCGATGGTAACCTGTGGGTGGCTATATTCACAGGCGGTCGTGTTGTGAAAATTGATGGAAGCAAAAGTGAGACCTTGTTGGATACCATCATCATGCCTGTGAAAGACGTGAGGGCTAAAAATAATTTTTTGAAGAGAATGTAAGTTGATTTTTAGGTGAGTGCTGTGGTTTTTGGTGGACCCAATTTGGATGAATTGTTTGTAACCTCGGCGAATTTGTCTTGGGGAAACGAACCCAATCCTGATGTTACTGGTGCCACTTATCGAGTGACTGGACTGGGGGTCAAAGGTCTTCCAGCTGCTAAGTTTAAGTTGAATTAATTTTGCCGCTGTTCGTCATAAGTTTCTTACATTCCTTTGCAAATAAATAATAAAAATTAAATAGTGTGTTATTTTGATAAATTCGATTTATAGGTTAAGTAAATAAGGTCAAAAGATATTGAATCCAGAGATAAAAATATGAAATCACTAAAAAAACAGTACTGATTGTGCAAAAAAATTGTAAAATGTACACACAACTCAACATGAAAATTCTTGCAAAACTATTTTTAATTTTCAAGGTAGGGGAAAACCAGTGATAATAATATTGTTATGTTTATGATCCATGTTAAAAAAATAAAGTCATGACATGACAGATCAAAAATACTAAAACAATTGTTATTCATCAAAAATTACACATAACTCAACTTGAACATTCTTAAAAACAAACTATTTTAAATTTTAAGTTTAAGATAGGGGAGACCGACGCAATGAGAACACTTGGGCATTTGATATATGTTTAATATGACGTGACGTTCATAAATCGACCTAAAAGTTCCATCTTGCCTTTTTTTCTTAATATGTGTAGTCATCTTATTTTCACAACAAGAAACTGAAAACATGTTTAAAATGGTAGATTTGTATAAGGAAATATCGATTTTGAAATTACGCTCCGCCCCTGAGCTTATAACGAATAAGAAAAAATCATCAGAATTGAGACAGGGCGGGTGGGCGGGGCTTATATTTTGCTTTTTTTTCTTAATATACATAGCCATCTTTTCACAACAAGAAACTTAAAACAGGGTTAAAATGGTACATTTTTGCCAGGAAATATGGATTTTGGAATTATGGAGCGGAACCCAATTGCAAAATCAATACTTCCGTATATAAATTTTCCATTTTAAATATGTTTTAAGTTTCATGTTGTGAAAAGACGTCTACACATATTAAAACAAAAAGGAAAAATATAAGCCCGCCCACCCACCCTATCTCAATTGTGATGATTTTTTTTATTCACTGTGAATCAAGGGAGCTGAGCTTAACTGCAAAATGGTTATTCCTTTACAAGGAAATAAAACATGTTTTTGAGTATCGTGCTGTTCAAAGAATATTATGTATATTAAGAAAAAAAAATTAAAAACCCGCCCACCCACCCCATCTCAATTGTGATGATTTTTTTATTTTTAGAAACTTAAAACACGTTTGAAATAGTAAATTTTTGTAAGGAATAATTGGTTTTGTAATTAGGCTCCGCCCCTAGGTCTGCGAACCAATGAAAACTTAATTACTATTTAGATCAGGGCAGGTACGGGTGGAGCTTAATCTTTGGCTTTAATTTTTTCTTAATATACATGGTATTCTTTGAATAACATTAAATTGAAAAACATGTCTTACATGGTAATTTCTTGTAGAGGAATAAGAAGGATTTTGCAATTAAATTCTGCTCCTTTGGCTCTCGACGATTAAAAAAAAGTCATCACAATTGAGGTAGGGTGGGTGGGCGGGGCTCATCTTTTGCCTTTTTTCTTAATATACATAGTCGTCTTTTCAGTTATAATATAACAAGTGATCCCCAGTAACATTTTATATGTAATCAATATTGAAGTTCTAACATTTAAATAATATGGGTAACGACAGATTTTTTTTTTAAAAATCAATATTGGTTTTAAATATTGAATATATATTTATTTTCAATGTTTAATACTTATTTAGTTCAGAACATTTAATAAATGTTTTTCATATGAAAGGGGGTATGGATATAAAAAAAACTTGTATGGAATACAATATAAAATTTATTAAACACAAAAATATATTGTCACTGGAAATAACAGTGTATTTGAAACGTTGCGGCAATATTTATACATTTAAAAATTATTTGTCCTAGAACCAATTCGTTGAAAATTTGTACCGGGTGATTGTTTTTTAATTTTTGCTGTAGTTACCCATGATACTTATGTCAGCAGTGAAACTGAAACTGCTGGCATAAGCTTCATGGGCAACCAGAGCATAAATTTAAAAAATCACCTGATGTGAAACACAATATAAATTTTTTAAACATAAAAATACACTGCCAACTTACAATGAAATAAAAATACATTGTCAATGGAAATAACAATGTTCTGCTACATTTCAATCGTTATACAGAAATATTTATTTAATAATTATTTGCTCTATAACCAATTCATTGAAAAGCGATATAATTAATTAAAATAAAAAAAATCATACCTCATGTTTTTTTCGATGAGAATTCATTCTTGCTTTTGTCTGCGCTTAATGAGGTCCTACCATTTTTTAAATTTCAGCAGTTGTGGCGTTTTTGTGACGTTTCCGTGTGGTACCTACAATTAAATTAACTTACAAATTTCGTAATTTTTAAGAAATCACATAACTTTACATATTGTAGCCTTGTTAATTGTGAGTTCACTAAAAGAGAGCTTATTTTTTCCTTGCCCTGAAAACTTGAAAGCAATTTGGTTCATTATTAATAATTTCTTCAAAATTGCATAGGTACATGTTTTTTACATCTTCTCTTCCTGGCAAATAAACATTATTATCAGTCTGAAACTAACTAGTTTATAAATACTAGGAGTTAATAATAAGAATAATAAATGCTTACCAATTCATTCAATTTCTGCGTATCTCCCGCAATTTCTAACTGGATTTCTTCTTTTTTTTGGTTGCGCCCGGACATTCATCATTTTATCTCTACATTCATAATGTGCTTATATTCAGAAATATTAAACCTCTTAAATATACTTACGTGTTGAGAAACTGCATTTTCTGCATTGCTTGCAGAAGTGAGGTTATGTAGGGTTAGTACTGTTTTCTTGACAAAACGGTATTTATTGCACTATTCTGAATTTATCGCAGTACCGATAATCACAATTCACAATAGGACAAACACCATGAACTTACACAAAATACTTTTTGAACCACCAACAATAACAGAAAATATGTATATGTTGCACATTGCGCAAACGCGTTCCAGCAGAGCAAGCGCAAATTTAAGTAAGTTTTATAAAAATGATGAATAAAATTATTATTTTTTGTTCGCAAAAATAAAAAAATATTAATTTTTAATGAGCAATTAATAGTGTGCAACACGATATTTCGAATAGTGTCAATTTCACAATAGCTGGTATTTTTTCAAATCAATTTTTAATGTTGCTCCAATAAAAACCGTATGACATAAATTACCTACAAGTTGTCCCAACATGGTACTTTTTTTTTTCATTTTTGTTGTTCGGTATCTTGATAAAAAGACATTTCATAAATATGTAATATATGTTGAAATTCATATACAGGGTGTTATTGAAAGGTACGTACAACAAAATTGACAGTTCTTCGCGAGGTCTAAGAAGTCTGAAAAACTTATTTTGTGTTATCAAAATTATAAGGGGAAAATTAACCCTTATCCAACCTTTTTACACGCTACTGAAAGATAAATAGGTAAAATTAATTTATTTTAATAAATCCTAGCAACTGTAACAATAAAACTTTTGTCAAGACTAAATGTTGCTATAGAAACGAGAGATCATGTTTTTATCAGAGGCGTACAACGAATTTGGACATAAATTTTAATAATTTTTATCTCTAAAAGGAGAACACTTTTACCTGAACTTTTTTTAACTTTTAGCACCCATACTTCGAGACCAATTGACGATTTTATTTTGTACGTACCTTTTAATAACACGCTGTATAAATTTATAAATATAAAATGAATATTATATAAATATTTGTAATATCTAGTCAACATTTAATATTATATCAATCTTGTATAAATATTAGAAAAATATTGCTTGCTACTGGGGATATGATTATTATCGATAATATTTCGAGTGAAACCGAGCTGCAGATTTAACGAGTGCGAAGCACGAGTTGAATGTGCTGCTTCGGTTTCACCATGGTAGAAGGAGACATGGTATAGGCATACGCATCGGGTGTGACGTCAAGTGGGGTGAAATTAGCGCGAAATTTAAAATACAATCCGTTATCCGACAATTAATTGACGTATTGGACAGAGCAATGACAACTCAAGCTGAAATTCCCTAGACTTCCCTAGCGAAGCTCACAAGAGTCACAAGGTCGTTGATGCCACCTAACGTCACAAATGGATGCGCAGACCATTTTTAAATTGGTACATCGGATGCCTATACCATGTCTCCTTCTACCATGGGTTTCACGAGCCATATCTTCGATTATTAATCATATCACGAGTTATATTCAACATGAGAATATAATAAATGAACACATTTTTTGATAATAGAGTTGATTTCGTCGTTTTGAGCTTGCCCCCAACGTTGGCAAGCCATAAAAGACGAAAAAATTTACGAAATTTTAAAATTTGTCAATTTGACAGTTTTTAAATTTAGGTAGCAACAGACCACAATAAGGCAATAAAATTATTATCGCTGTGATAGACATGTAACTAAGGGCATGAACAAATTCTATTGGACGACATGGGGTCATGTGATTCATGAATTATATTCTCAGAACAAGAAACTTAAAACATGTTTAAAATGGTAAATTCTTGTAGACAAATATGAATCTTGCAATTAAACCCCGCCCCTCGATTCGACAACGAATGAAAAATTCGTCACAATTGAGAATTGAGATCGGGTATCATTATGGGCGGGATCTAATCTTTGCCTTTATTCGTAGAGAAATAAGGATTTTGCAGTTAAGCTCCGCCCTCTTGGCTCATGACGAATAAAAAAAAATGATCACAATTGAAACAGGGCGGGTGGGCGGGGCTACATTTTGCCTTTTTGTTTTAATATGTGTAGACTTCTTTTTACAACATGAAACTTAAAATATGTCTAAAATGGTAAATTGGTATACGGAAATATGGATTTTGCAATTATGGGGCGGAGTCTAATTGCAAAATGGATTTTTCCTTATGGAAATTTTGCATTTTGAACATGTTTTAAGCATCATGTTATCAAAAGAAGTCTACACATAATAATACAAAAAGGCAAAATGTAAGCCCGCCCACCCATCCTATCTCGTTTTGTCTTCAGAAATGGGAAATAAATGTTATAGCAGATAAGTAGTATAACAAAATAATTAAGTAAAACTTGTTAAAATAGGACTAAACAATATTAAGAGTAGTCACTGGAAAAAAGAGGGGGCAGGCGGGTGGGGCTACTGTTTGCTTATAAAAGATTCTGTGGGAAAAAGATAAACTTAGCCCCGCCCAACCACCCGTTCTCTCATTTTGTCTTCAGAAATAAGAAATAAATGTTATAGCAGATAAGTAGTATAACAAAATGATTAAGTAAAACTTGCCAAAATAGGACTGAACAATATTAAGGGTAGTCACTGGAAAAAAGAGTGGGGGGGTGGGCGGGGTTATTGCTTGCTCATAAAAGATTCTGTAGGAAAAAGTTAAATTTAGCCCCGCCCACCCACCCGTTCTCTCATTTTGTCTTCAGAAATAAGAAATAAATGTTATAGCAGATAAGTAGTATAACAAAATAATTAAGTAAAACTTATTAAAATAGGACTGAACAATATTAAGAGTAGTCACTGGAAAAAAGAGGGGGCGGGCGGGTGGGGCTACGGTTTGCTTATAAAAGATTCTGTGGGAAAAAGATAAACTTAGCCCCGCCCACCCAACCGTTCTCTCATTTTGTCTGCAGAAATAAGAAATAAATATTATAGCAGATAAGTAGTATAACAAAATAATTAAGTAAAACTTGCTAAAATAAGACTGAACAACATTAAGTTTTGTATGCTGAAAACAGTGGTGAAAAGCGCGTTTCAAAATTTCCATAAATAACTGAAATATTGATTTTTTAAAATACGTGATGCAAAAATTTCACTGAAATTAAAAGAAAAGTATGATCACAAATTGTTTTTAACAAAATTGCCTTTCCAATATATAAAGAAAGTTATGGACAACATATATTTAAAATTTCAAAACAATAAGTCTGTTAATAATGGAGATATTACATTCTGAAAATAAACCGAAGATTCCACTCAGAAAACGTAGCGACTTGCCTTAAGAACAACACGTTTAAAATGGTCAATTTTTGTAAGGAATTATGGATTTTACAATTAAGCTCCGCCCCTAGGTCTGGCAACGAATGAAAACTTGATTACTATTTGGATCAGGGCAGGTGTGGGTGGGGCTTAATCTCTGTCTTTATTTTTTTCTTAATATACATAGTATTCTTTGAACAACACGATACTCAAAAACATGTTCTTAGTTTCTCGCAGTGAACTAAGGATTTTGTAGCTAAGCTCCGCCCCCTTGGCTCACGACGAATAAAAAAATCATCACAATTGAGATAGGGCGGGTGGGCGGGGCTACATTTTTCATTTTTTTTCTTAATATGTGCAGACTTATTTCGACAACAAAAAACTTAAAACAAGTCTTCAAATACGGCACAAGTTGAACATCACAATTACTATAACTAAGTTTGCTGAAGAGCTACACAGAACGGCAATTTTTTATACAGCATTATCTAACAATATGTCCAAGTTACATCATCCTTAAATTATCGCTGGCACTTCACAGAATGAGTTGCGAATTGATGATTCGTGTTACCTTGATTAGACTCAGCTATATAACAAATATAAACAGCATACTTTAGTACAACGTAGTGTTGTGTGATTTATTGTGCAAATATACATTAAAAAAAACTAAATAAACAATGGCCAAACTAGAACGAGTGTCAGAAGGGTGTGTTCTAGGCGAAGCACCCCATTGGGACGGTGCTACCCAAAACCTCTATTTTGTTGACATTTATGGAAAAAGCATCCTCAGATACGTACCATCGACCAAAAAAGTGACCAAAGCGTCACTCGGTAAGAAAATTTAATTCCCCGATTTCTAACCCGTCATGGCAAAAATTTTTCCAGCCCCACAAAGTCCCACTTTCATCATCCCTGTAGAAGGCAAAAAGAACCAGTTTATTATAGGGGCAAACAACGAACTGAAAATAATCTCATGGGACGGAGAAAGTGAGAAAATTTCAGTCGAAGAAAAATTGTCGACAGTGGAAAGATCGACTCAAGCACCAAACGCAGCTTTCAACGACGCCAAATGTGACTCTGCTGGAAGATTATGGGCGGGTACTCAGAGTTTAGCCGCTGAACTAGCCAAAACCGAACCAGTGGGTTCTTTGTATACCTACGACGGCAAGGGTCAATTAAAGAGCCAAATTGGTGGTATTCGAGTGGCTAATGGTCTGGCTTTTAACGACAAAACCAAGAAAATGTTTTATATTGATTCGCTGCAAGGAACGGTTGATCAGTTTGATTTTGATCTTAGTAGAGGAACCATTTGTAAGAAAAAGTGGGAAAGGTGTTTTCAAAACTGTACGTGGTTTTTCAGCCAATCGACAAGTTTGGTTTACTTTGAAAAAACTAAGTATTCCTGGTATTCCGGACGGTATGGCCATTGATACCGATGGTAATTTATGGGTTGCGGTGTTTGGAGGGAGCCGGGTTTTGAAAGTTGATGGTAACAAACGGGAAACTTTGTTGGATACTATAAATATACCGGCTGAACAGGTAAATGCCGCTTCGTTGTGATGGTGACGATTACTCGTCGCCTGATAAATACAATGATAGATTTTTGTTTTTCTCCAGGTTACTTCAGTGGCATTCGGAGGTCCAAATCTAGACGAGCTTTACGTTACAACAGGAGCTTTGGAGATTGAAGGGAAAAAACTACCCCCTCCAGAGAACGGAGCCACTTATAAAATAACCGGAACCGGTTCAAAAGGACTTCCTGGAGTCAGTTTCAAGCCCCTTTGAAAGAAAGCCACAAAATTTATTTTTAATCATTGTTTACACGAAACGGAATCGTCTCATTTATTCCGTTCGGATTTTTCCACACCTACAAATTAAACAGAAATTTAAGTACAACACGAATTACACCATAAAAATGACTTTATCTATACTTGTACAAGTGTACCTACTTCACCCAACGAAATAAACACTTTTTAATACAGTTTTATCATTCCTTACTTTCACTTCAAGGTAGCTTTCCGTGGCCTTGATACGCTCATTTGTGAGTTCTTGTGCGTCTTTGCGACCAATTTCTTAAAAGATGGCTCCAAAAATCGAAAAACTGACTGAAAGTTTCCGTTTGGGTGAAGGTCCTCATTGGGACAAAGCGACACAAAGCCTCTACTTCTTGGACTGTATTTCGCAGAACCTTGTCAGGTATGACCCGGCAACGAAGAAGGTCACGAAAGCATCAGCTGGTAATTTTGTAATAATATATCCTTCATTGTTTTTAACCGATTAAATTTTAGCCCCAAAACAACCCACTTTTATAATTCCCGTGGAAGGCAAAAAAGGTCAGTTTATTATTTCTTTGAACAAGGAACTAGCGATTATATCGTGGGACGGTGAAAGTGACAAGTTCTCAATCGTCGAGAAATTGTGTGTTGCGGATGATGCACCAGAAACCGCTAATAATAAATTCAATGACGGGAAATGCGACTCTTCGGGAAGACTGTGGGCTGGTAAGTTTTCATTTTTCGTTATGAAATTTACTAAAACACGTCGTTAGGGACCCTCAATATTGATAAAGAAGATGAAGATAAAACTCTACCAGTGGGGACTCTGTACAGTTTTGATTCTAAAAGGCAGTTGAAAGGGCAAGTTAGCAAAGTTCGGCTAACAAATGGGATCGCTTTTAATGATAAAACGAAAAAAATGTTTTACATAGATACGCTAAAGGGTTCAGTTGATCGGTTCGACTTTGACGTTATTAATGGGACTATAAGTGGGTTTGATAATATTGTATAGCAGATACACTTATTTTGTTGTTTTAGCTAATAGACAAGCCTGGTTTACACTGGCGAAAAATAATGTTCCTGGGAAACCAGACGGGATGACTATAGATACAGACGGGAATTTGTGGGTGGCTGTGTTTGAAGGGGCTCGAGTTATTAAAGTTGACGGGAATAAATCTGAAACGTTGTTAGATACGATTGAGCTGCCAGCACAACAGGTAAAATTAATACTGTACTGAAGTCAACACAATCATGGTTTTTATATACGTACTGTAGGTAACGTCCGTTTCATTTGGTGGTCCAAATCTAGATGAATTGTACGTCACATCTGCTTCATTTGAATACAAAGGACGAACTCCACCACCACCTGATAATGGAGCTTTGTACAAGATTACAGGAACTGGGTCCAAAGGACTGCCTGCTAACAATTTTAAGCTGGCATAAAAATGAAAACTTTGCAACCGTTGTATGTCTAAAATAAAATAAAAACGCAATTGTTTCTTTCGTTTATTGTGCCACTTATCTCTTTATAAGCACTTACTACAAAATAAATGGTTATGCCGCTTGTTGCTATCCATGCACTGAATTATTTATTCAGTTTTTTATTGACGCCGACTCACTAAATTGCATAATGTTAATAAAATGTTTTAGTTTAAATTGGGCTTTCACGCCACATAAAGAAATTCAAACTACTTCAAAAATAAAATAAAAGGAGTCCCCAAGATTCTTCAAACTACTTCTAAAAACAAGCACAAGGGGTCCCCGAGATTCTTTCAAACTACTCCAAACACAAAACAAGAGGGAACCCCCAGATCCTTCAAACTACTTCAAAACCAGAGACGAGGGGTCCCCAAGATTTTTTCAAACTACTTCAAAAACAAAACAAAAGGTGTCCCCGAGATTCTTTCAAACTACTTCAAAAACCTAGAACAAGAGGTCCTCAAGATTCTTTAAAACTACTTCAAAAACAAAACAAAAGGGATCCCCGACATCCTTCAAACTACTTCCAAAACCAAGGACGAGGGGTTCCCGAGATTCTTTAAAACTACTTCAATAATAAAACAAAAAGGATCCCCGGGATCCTTTAAACTACTTCAAAAACCACGCACAAGGGATCCTCAAGATTCTTTCAAAATACTTAAAAAACACAAAAAAGAGTCCTCAAGATTCTTTCAAACTACTTCGAAAACCATACACGAGGGGCCCCCGATATTCTTTAAAGTTACTTCTAAAACAAAACAAGACAAAAGGGATCCTCGACATTCTTCAAACTACTTTAAAAACCACACACAAGGGGTTCTCAAGATTCTTTCAAACTACTTCAAAAACACAAAGGAGTCCTCAAGATTCTTTCAAACTATCCCCGAGATTCTTTCAAAGTAACTCTAAACAAAACAAAACAGATTCCTGACATCCTTCAAACTACTTCAAAAACCAGACCCGAGGGATCCCCGAGATTCTTTCAAACTACTTCAAAAATAAAACAAAAGGTGTCCCCAAGATTCTTTCAAACTACTTTAAAAACCTAGAACAAGACGTCCTCAAGATTCATTAAAACTACTTCAAAAACAAAACAAAAGGTGTCCCCGATATTTTTTCAAACTACTGCAAAAACCTAGAACGAGAGGTCCTCAAGATTCTTTAAAACTACTTGAAATACATAATAAAAGGGATCCCCGACATCCTTTAAAATACTTCAAAAACCAAGCACGAGGAGTCCTCAAGATTCTTTTAAACTACTTCGAAACCAGACACGAGGGGTCCCCGAGATTCTTTCAAACTACTTCAAAAACAAAACAAAAAGGATCCCCAACATCGTTCAAACTACTTCAAAAACCACGCACAAGAGGTTCTCAAAATTCTTTCAAACCACTTCAAAAACACAAAGGCGTCCGCAAGATTCTTTCAAACTACTTTGAAAACCAGACACGCGGGGTCCCCGAGATTTTTTAAAATTACTTCTATAACAAAACAAAAGGGATCCTCGACATTCTTCAAACTACATCAAAAACCACGCACAAGGGGTTCTCAAAATGCTTTCAAACTATTTCAAAAACAAAAAGTAGTCCTCAAGATTCTTTCAAACTACTTCGAAAACCAGACATGAGGGGTCCCCGAAATTCTTTAAAATTACTTCTAAAACAAAACAAAACAGATTCCTAACATCCTTCAAACTACTTCAAAAACCAGACACGAGGGATTCCCGAGATTCTTTCAAACTACTTCAAAAACAAAACAAAAGGTGTCCCCGAGATTCTTTCAAACTATTTCAAAAACCTAGAACAAGAGGTCCTCAAGATTCTTTAAAACGACTTCAAAAACCTAGAACGAGAGGTCCTTAAGATTCCTTAAAACTACTTCAAATACAAAACAAAAGGGATCCTCGACATCCTTTAAACTACTTCAAGAACCAAGCACGAGGGGTTCTCAAGATTCTTTAAAACTACTCCAAAAACAAAACAAAAGCGATCCCTGAGATTTCTCAAACTACTTAAAAAAAAACAAAGGGCTCCTCAAGATACTTTTAAACTAATTCGAAACCAGACACGAGGGGTCCCCGAAATTCTTTCAAACTACTTCAAAAACAAAACAAAAAGGATCCCCGACATGCTTCAAACTACTTCAAAAACCAAGGACGCGGGGTCCCCGAGATTCTTTAAAACTACTTCAAAAATAAACAAAAAGGATCCTTCAAACTACTTCAAAAAGCACGCACAAGGGATTCTCAAGATTCTTTCAAAATACTTCAAAAACACAAAGGAGTCCGCAAGATTCTTTCAAACTATTTCGAAAACCAGACACGAGGGGTCCCCGAGATTCTTTAAAATTACTTCTAAAACAAAAAAAAAAGAGATACTCGACATTCCTCTAACTACCTCAAAAACCACGCACAAGGGCTTCTCAAGATTCTTTCAAACTATTTCAAAAACACAAAGTAGTCCTCAAGATTCTTTCAAACTAACTCGAAAACCAGACATAAGGGGTCCCCGAAATTCTTTAAAATTACTTCTAAAACAAAACAAAACAAATTCCTGACATCCTTCAAACTACTTCAAAAACCCGACACGAGGGATTCCCGAGATTCTTTCAAACTACTTCAAAAACCTAAAACAAGAGGCCCTCAAGATTCTTTAAAACTACTTCAAATACAAAACAAAAGGGATCTCCGACATCCTTTAAACTACTTCAAAAACCAAGCACAAGGGGTCCTCAAGATTCTTTAAAAATACTCCAAGAATAAAACAAAAGCGATCCCTGAGATCTTTCAAACTACTTAAAAAAAAAACAAAGGGCTCCTCAAGATTCTTTTAAACTACTTCGAAACCAGACACGAGGGGTCCCCGAGATTCTTTCAAACTACTTCAAAAACAAAACAAAAAGGATCCCCGACATCCTTCAAACTACTTCAAAAAGCACACACAAGGAATTCTCAAGATTCTTTCAAAATATTTAAAAAACAAAACAAAAAGGATCCTCGACATTCTTCAAACTACTTCTAAAACCACGCACAAGGTGCTCTCAAAATTCTTTCAAACTACTTCAAAAACACAAGGGAGTCCGCAGATTCTTTCAAACTATTTCAAAAACACAAAGTAGCCCTCAAGATTCTTTCAAACTACTTCGAAAACCAGACACGAGGGATTCCCCAGATTCTTTAAAACTACTTCAAAAACCTAGAACGAGAGGTACTCAAGATTCTTTAAAACTACTCCAAAAACAAAGCAAAAGCGATCCCTGAGGTCTTTCAAACTACTTAAAAAAAAACAAAAGGCTCCTCAAGATACTTTTAAACTAATTCGAAACCAGACACGAGGGGTCCCCGAGATTCTTTCAAACTACTTAAAAAACCAAGGACGAGGGTCCCCGAGATTCTTTAAAACTACTTCAAAAATAAAACAAAAAGGATCCCCGGGATCCTTCAAACTACTTCAAAAAGCACGCATAAGGAATTCTCAAGATTCTTTCAAAGTACTTAAAAAACAAAACAAAAAGGATCCTCGACATTCTTCAAACTACTTCAAAAACCACGCACAAGGGGTCCTCAATATTCTTTAAAACTACTTCAAAAACAAAACAAAGGGCTCCTCAAAATTTTCTCAAATTACTTCAAAAACCACCCACAAGGGTTCTCAACCTTCTTTCAAACTACTTAAAAAAAAACAAAAAGGATCCCCGGGATCCTTCAAACTACTTCAAAAAGCAAGCACAAGGGATTCTCAAGATTCTTTTAAACTTCTTCAAAACAAAAGGGATCGCCGACATCCTTGAAACTACTTCAAAAACCAAGCACGAGGGTTCCGCAAGGTTCTTTAAAACTACTTGAAAAACAAAACAAAAAGGATCCCCGAGATCCTTCAAACTACTGCAAAAACCAAGCACGAGGGGTCCTCAAGATTCTTTCAAACTACTTCAAAAACAAAACAAAAAGGATCCCTAAAATCCTTCAAACTACTTCAAAAACTTAGCACGAGAGGTCCTCAAGTTTCTTTAAAACTACTTAAAAAACAAAAGGGATCCCCGATATCCTTCAAACTACTTCAAAAACCAAGCACGAGGGCTCCTCAAGATTCTTTAAAACTTAGTCAAAAACAAAACAAAAGGGATCCCCAACATTCTTCAAACTACTTCAAAAACCAGTCACGAGGGGTCCTCAAGGTTCTTTAAAATTACTTCAAAAACAAAACAAAAGTGTCCTCAAGATTTTTTCAAATTACTTCAAAAACCAAACACAAGAAGTCTCCGAAATTCTTTAAAATTACATCTAAAACAAAACAAAAAGGGTCCCCGAAATTTTTCAAACTACTTCAAAAACTACGCACAAGGAGTTCTCAAGGTTCTTTCAAACTACTTTGAAAACCAGACACGAGGGGTCCCCGAGATTGTTTTAAACTACTTCAAAAACAGAACAAAAGGGATCCCTGACATCCTTCAAACTACTTCAAAAACCAAACAGGAGAGGTCCTCAAGATTCTTTAAAACTACTTCAAAAACAACACTAAAGGGATCCTCGAGATCTTTCAAACTACTTCAAAAATCAGTTACGAAGGGTCCTCAAGGTTTTTTAAAACTATTTCAAAAACAAAACAAAAGGGTCTTCAAGATTTTTTCAAATTACTTCAAAAACCAAACACAAGAAGTCTCCGAGATTCTTTCAAACTACTTCGAAACCAGACACGAGGGGTCTCCGAGATTCTTTAAAACTACTTCAAAAATAAAACAAAAGGGATCCCCGAAATTCTTCAAACTACTTCAAAAACCACGCACAAAGGGTTTTCAAGATTCTTTCCAACTACTTAAAAAACAAAACAAAGGAGTTCTGGGGATTCTTTCAAACTTCTTCGAAAACCAAACATGAGGGATCCCCGAGATTCTTCAAAATTACTTCAAAAACAAAACAAAAAGGGATCCCCAAGATTCTTCAAACTACTTCATAAACCACACACAAGGGGTGTTCAAGATTCTTTCAAACTACTTCAAAAACAAAACAAAGAAACAAGATTGATTGATAGACAGTTTTCTATTGGCATAATTTTGTATCTAGATAAGTATCGCCCCAGTTACAAAGGTGGCGTTCCAGTCTAATAAGTTCTCATTATTTAATCGCCACGTGTGCAATCGATTTTAGCCTTGGAAAAAAGTGGTGTTCCGATCTATTAATGCATTTCTAGGTTAGAATTTAGATTAACTGTTGTGAAATTAGACTGTAACTTCCTACACTGTACAAAATTTTTGCTGAGAAGACAACAGTCTGAGGTTATGTAAGTCTTTTTTGGAATGACAGATGTCCTAATGTATTTTTGAAATGAATGGATCGAGTGTGTTATTATTAGCTGGACAAAAATTAGATAGTGTTTAATGCCTTAATTTTAAATAGTTTTTATAACCTTAATGTTAAAATGACCCTATAATTTATAACAAAAATTAGAGCGTCCGATATAAAACAAAATTATCGGGTTCTAATCTAATAAAAAGTGATAAAAGGCGATTAGTTAAAGGTTATGTTGACAAAGATTTACGTCAAACTGAGGGCATTTGGGCAGTAGTACCACCCAAAACTTGACCGAAAACACCAACTGTAAATAATTAATTTTACCTATTTGCAATGACAGTCGTAACTTTTGAATTCTTAATGAGGTACTCGTGGTGTATTAACAAAATAAAGTAGTTTTTCTTTGTTCAAAAGTCTACCAAAAACAACATAGCTTTGCTGTAATTTTAAATAGGTTGCCAACCTGACAAAATAATGTCAAAATTGGCGTTAACTGAATTACCTACTATTTTTGACAAGTGTTAGAAACATTTCATCGAAAACAAATTTTGTTTGAAATTGGTAGACCTGTCACTTCACCATACTTCCTGTTATCAAAACTGACGTGGTTTAACGTTGCCTCCTAACCACTTTCCTAATAAAACATGCGCTAAACACGATCAGGTGTGGAAATTTTCTGAAACTTGAATTGTCCTGGCGCCTCCACCATTTTTAGTGCGAATAATCCACACACGAATAGATTGTTTTTAATTTATTTTACAATTTGACAATGCGTTATTTAATCTGACGTTTCCATTTAGGGAAATATATTTTCGCCAACAGAAGGAATTTGAGTACAACACACTCGAGTATTTCTTATTTGCGCAATGATAATTGAAAAATGTGAAAAAAAAATTGTTGACCATTCGGTTATTTTTAAATTAATGGCTTGAATTAACCATTATTATCTTATTATTGTCATTATTGCTTAATCGGTATCTATAATTAGTTTTAATTTAAACACACAATGTTATCACTACGACTTTTTTATTATTATTAATGTCAATGTCATTGCTAAGAATTATTTTGATTTCCAAAAAAATCTACTTTTCTGCAATCACGAACGTGATATTACCTGAACACAAATGTCATAATTGTGATCCGTTGTTCTAACTTAAGTCTTAACATTCTTATTTTAATCGGAGTATAATGTTAATCTTTGACAATTTTAAATTCGTGCGCATGTGTGGCGGTAAATTCAAATCTTCGCTCTCATTAACTTTATTACTACTGGTACATAATACATTATTACTAATATTTCATAGGTTATAACCAATAAATACCTTAATGTTGTTTTACAGCAATAAAACAATAAAAATGGTATTTTATCACCTATAAAACATACTTCATTAACCGGATTTTTAAAAATTAACAACTTGATTGACTGTAAAATAAATTCGGCAGTGAATTCAAATTCCAAAATTCGAAAAATCGCCCTTTCGTATTCAAACAAAACAAAACTTGAATCCATGAAAGTACTAGCGGAAATTTTCTGCGAATAAACCATGACCTTAGGTTTTTATGAGCAGTACGCAAACACCACTCTGTCGTGAACATGTGTAGTCACAACAGTGCATTTTTAACAATTAATTTCAACTATTAATCACCGCGACGTGATTCACATTCACGAACATTAATGAACAATTTTGAGTCAAAAAGTGATTGAACCACCAAGGTCAAACTCATCGAATCACATTTAAATAGAATGATAGCATTTTTGTAAGTAGTTGAACTTAGAACAGTCGCGAAGCTCGTTCGAGCAAAATGGTGAAAATCGAGCGACTAACAGACAGCGTAAAATTGGGCGAAGCCCCACACTGGGACCCCGAAGCACAGACTCTCTACTACGTAGACATCCTAGGCATGTCCATCTATCAATACGAACCAGCCACAAAGAAAGTCAGCAAAGCCTCAGTCGGCCTAAACCTAGTGTCGTTCATCATACCAGTGGAGGGTGAGAAAAACCAGTTCATAGTGTCCCTAGGGAGAGAAATAGTGCGGATCTTCTGGAACAGTGAACTCCAAGACGTTCGAGTGATCGAGCAACTAGCGGAAGTGGAACAAGCGCCCGAATTCTTCGAAAGTAGATTCAACGATGGAAAGTGCGACCCTTTGGGGAGGCTATGGGCTGGAACTTTCAACACAGTTTCCGAAAAACCGCTGGATTATCCACCTAAAGGAGCTTTATATAGTTTGAACTCGGAACGACAAATCCAGCAGCACTTCAAAGGGTTGAGACTGAGCAATGGAATCGCTTTCAATATTAAGCTAAAAGCGATGTACTTCATAGACTCGGGTAAAGGGACTATTGACCAGTACGATTTTGACATCAAAGCAGGGACGATCTGTAACTATAAACATTTGTTTGAGAAATGTAACTTAGAGGAAATTTCCAGCAAAATGTCGAGCGATTTTCACGTTAAGTAAGCACCAAATAAGTGGGATTGCTGATGGTATGACGATCGATATTGATGGTAATTTATGGGTGGCTATCTTCAACGGTAGCAGGATTATCAAAATCGATCCCCGAAAACCCGAAACGCTTCTAGAGTCGATTCAAATGCCGGTGAAACAGGTAACACAAAACGGTTTTAGTAGGGTGAATTTTTATATGAAGCGGTTGTTTAGATAACGTCACTGACTTTTGGCGGTCCCAACTTGGACGAATTATATGTGACAACCGGCGCCTACAAGCTCGAAAATGAGGACCTTCCACCACCTGAAAATGGTGCTCTGTATCGAATTACCGGTGTGGGTACTAGGGGATTGCCGGCGACGAATTTTCGTTTTATAAACATCTGATTTAAATGGAATTTTCCTTCTGGTTTGTTTAACCGTAAAGATAAAGTCTATTAATAACTACTGTTATCTCGGTAGTGTCAATTAAACGGGTTTTTTGTTTGTAAACAATCTTACTAAATTGTCAGCATTTTCCGTCGGGCGAGCTCGGCAGCCGGAGTCGGCGGGTCGCCAACGGTCGAGACTGTCCGAGCAACACCGACGCGGTGACGGGAGGGAGAGGAAAACACTTGTGTTCGGATGCTGATACACGATGATTGCGTTTTAAAAGAATAAACTGCTAAATTCTGCGTTTGGTTTCTTTTTCCTAAAACTGTGCTGACATCAGAAGTGGGATTCTTTAAACCCTTGCGTGCACTTGTACGACAATGCCGAAAGAGCAGCGACGCCATAAAAAAGACAAACGGCGACGTTCGCGCCGGAGTGAATCTAGTGATGGTGCAAGTGGGTCTCGTTCACGGCATGAGCGGCGGCAAAAGCACAAGAAGTTGCGGGAACCGACTCCAGAACAACAACTTGCGAGACGGCACCGCTTGCGATCTCACTCGAGGACGAGGAGTGGCGACAGTCCTGGTCGCAGCAGTCCTGGTCCTGCTTCTGTTTCGCAAATCAGTGAGGCTATAGCAGCTGGGTTTGGTAAGCTGGCAGAGCAGGTAGAGGTGCGTGAGACTCGCCAGCAGGTAAGTGGGATCCCCCTTTCTACGGCCGGCAGCATTATTGCCGAATTCGATCCTTTAGAAAACGATGTTGACGAATGGTTAGAGTCGATTGGTGAGTACGCTCAAATTTATAATTGGGACGATAGGACAACGTGTCATTTGGCGTTGAGCAAACTAAGAGGCCCAGCGCAAACGTGGTATCGGACACTGCCTAGTAGAGTGTTTACGTGGCCCGAATGGCATGACATACTGTTGCGAAATTTTCCACCAAAGCGCGATCTCCATAAGGCGATTCAAATGATGATGGCATACACACCAGAGCAGTGTAAAACGCTCTACGAATATACGTTTAATAAACTTGCGCTAATTAATAAGCTAAAATTAAATATTAACCCCGCTGATCGCGTAAATTTAATAACGGGTGGAATTTGTGACGAGAAAATTAAATTCTCGGTCCAAGCTGCAGGTATTACGGACCCGATTGTTTAGCAGGACATTTAAAAACCATCGATGATCGAGTACTTGCAACGCAAACCGCAACCCGGCACGTTTCTCACATTCCAGCGACGCGAGCTCCAGTTTCATCTATTTATAGAAACCCAAAACAAACGTCATCTCTTTCGCGCAATGATACGGCTAATAAGCCGGTCCTCGGCCCAACTTGTTTTAACTGCGGAAAATCCGGTCACTTCCGTCGATTTTGCCCTGGTAAAAACCAACAAGCGTCCAGACAGCCACCACTATTGGCCATCGAGGCAAAAAAGTCCGTGAATTTTGTTGGTACCAATCCAAACGAGAAATATTTCAAAACTATCATGATCGAAGGTCACCAAATAAAATGTTTTGTCGATTTTGGAAGCGAGTGTTCGCTGATGAGTCAGGAGGCGGTTGAAAGGCTTAAAGTGGCGGCGCTGCCTTTGGACACGGCCGTGGTTTTAATGACTCTCGGCGGGCATAAAATTTCTCCAAGCGGCTGTGTAGCAGCAAATGTAACGATCGATGGCATCAACAAAAATTTGCAATTTTATGTCGTCGAAAAGTGTGTTATGGGCGTTGAAATTCTGATTGGCCAGAATTTCACCGACTTGTACGATATTATATACGTTAAAACAGGGAACACGTTGGTCTTTTCCCAGGAAACGAATATACCTTGCAATATTAACGCGATTAGCGAAACTGCGTTGAATGTAGGTATTTCTGACAGTGACGCTGTCACAAAATTGGTTTCGCTAATAGACCAATATTCTGTTTGCACTGCTGCAAACTTGTCGCAAATTGGTGTTACTTCTACGGTGCAAATGACCATTGAGTTAACGAGCTCCCAACCAATCGCTCGACGACCGCGTCACTATTCCGATTTTGAACGGGAACAGATCCGCGATATAGTTGGTGATCTACTTAAAAACGGTGTTATTCGGGAATCGCATTCACCTTATGCAAGTAGCGTACTACTGGTCAAGAAAAAGTCTGGCGAACTCCGTCTATGTGTGGACTATCGTCCCCTTAATAAGGTAACTATTAAAGATAAGTATCCTCTACCCTTAATTGAGGAACAACTAAGACGTCTGTCAGGGTTTAAATATTTCACAACTCTTGACTTATTTTCTGGATACCACCAAATACCAATGGCCCCGGAATCCATCCCTTTGACCGCCTTTGTGACCCAGGACGGGCATTATGAATTTCTACGCGTCCCTTTTGGTCTCACCAATGCGCCAGCTGTATTTATGCGGATGGTAAACACTGTATTAGGTCAACTAAGATTCACTAAGGTTCTTTGTTATTTAGACGATGTCTTGATTCCAGCTCATTCTGTTGAGGAATCGTTGGCAATTTTACAAGAGGTACTTGAGATTCTCAAACAAAATGGGTTAACTTTAAAACTGTCAAAATGCTTTTTTCTGCACACAAGTATTGAATATTTAGGTTACGAGATTAGTGAGGCAGAAATTCGGCCGACTCGGCGTAAAATAGAGGCGGTCCGGAATTTTCCTGTGCCCACCGATGTCCATCAAGTGCGGCAATATTTGGGACTTACCGGATATTTTAGAAAATTCATCGTGGACTATGCGGCGAAATCGAGACCCTTGACTTCCTTACTGCATAAAAATACTGTTTGGTGTTGGGGCCAGTCTCAAGCCACCGCGTTTGAGGTCCTCAAACAGTGTCTAACTTCGGAACCCGTACTTGCCTTATTTAATCCGAATTTGGATATTAAATTGTATACGGACGCCAGTAGGTTGGGCGTGGCTGCTATCCTGACGCAGACAAGTGGGCAAGCTGAAAAAGTGGTAGCGTATTTTAGCAAACACACAAGTCCTAACGAACAAAAGTACCACTCGTTTGAGTTGGAGGCCCTTGCAATCGTGGCGGCTGTACGACGATTTCGGCAATATTTGCTGGGCAGGACGTTTACCATCATTACTGATTGCGCTGCGGTTAAAAACGCATTTGTTAAGAGCGATCTTAACGCCCGTATCGGTAGATGGGTTTTAGAACTTAACGAATATCGGTTTAATATCGAACACCGGAACAATGGTCGTATGCAGCACGTAGATGCGCTCAGTCGCAACTTACCACCTTGCGAATGTAATGTAAACATCACCGTCATCAGCGAGGAAGACTGGCTGTTAGCAGCTCAACAGTCGGATCGGGAGATCATCGAAATTAAGAACATTTTAGAAACGGGCGATCGCGAAAATAATACTGATATCTTTAATAATTACGCGTTAAAAGGCGGAAAAGTGTACAAAAGTACCGGACGAGGCCTACGGTGGGTAGTTCCCAAAGCTGCGCGGTTCCAAATCCTACAGATGGCCCATGACGATTCCGGTCATTTTGGGTTTGACAAAACCGTAGAGCTAGTATCAAACAAATATTGGTTCAAAAAAATGCGTCGGTTTACCCATAAGTACATCAATAATTGTCTGAACTGTCTATATTTTAAACTCCCAGGTGGGTGGCAGAGCTGGGTGACGATCACACAAGGTGTAGTTTTAGTTTTGTTTTGCGTTATTATTAAGTATTATGTTCATTTAAAAATTAAGCTTCCTTCTATGCGTTACATTTAATATTCGCCCTCATTTATTTTGTATTGTATTCTTGCATTATGTAAGTTTGGCCAAATTTACCCTGTTTTCTTCCAGTTACCGTCCACGGCAGACAGGCAGCTTGCTTTCTGATTTATATCTTTAATGTAGGAGAAGTGACGATCAAAGTCTAAAGCCTGTATGTATGAGTTTCAGTCCGAGGACCTGAACTGAGGTGCCCATATCCGTCGAGTGAGGACACTCTCCATGTCAGGAAAGGCCGTGTCAGCATTTTCCGTCGGGCGAGCTCGGCAGCCGGAGTCGGCGGGTCGCCAACGGTCGAGACTGTCCGAGCAACACCGACGCGGTGACGGGAGGGAGAGGAATACACTTGTGTTCGGATGCTGATACACGATGATTGCGTTTTAAAAGAATAAACTGCTAAATTCTGCGTTTGGTTTCTTTTTCCTAAAACTGTGCTGACAAAATCTTGAGTAATTGTTGTCATGTGATTCATTAAAATAATTATTATTCTGTGCCACTGCTGTAATTCTTACGTATAACAATGGAAAAGTTCTTAATAGAGGTACACTTATTTTAATTGCTTGTATAAACTTTACTTACAAAAGTTGTTTGAGTGTTGTAAATAATAATAAAAATGGTAATAAAATTTTAACGCCTAATGAAAGAGAAAATAATACGGTAGAAAATAGATCCAAGGACAAGGATACAGTGGGAACGAAACAAAGGAAGTGTTAATGTATTTCACACTTTTAACATTCAACTAAAACGGATTTTTAGAGATGGTCTTTTACTATACGAGATATCGTGTAACTAAAAGATTACATGGAATCAAAGTTGGCTGTACTTTTACGTCAGTTTTTGGTTTTTCTGTCATGTCGTTAATTTTCTTTGGTGATTTTGGAGCCATGAAAGTGATAATTGTAAGTTAAAAATATGTTAACATGTTAAAATCTCTATTACTGCCTTCCAAATCCTGGTATTTTTTTCAAATTAAACACGTTTTGAATAACCTTGAAAATTTAGTATTCTATAATGCGTGTAAGTATACCCACATGTAATTTTCATATTTTTCAAGAGTCAACTAAATCTGTACTATCAATTTGACATTTCAAGTGTGCTCGAATTTTATCGTGACGATAGTGAGACAACTAAAATTTATCTATTGACTCCTCCAAAAAATTTGATTGTGCGGAATTTTACTTTTTCGTGATAACCTAAGTATTAAAAAAATAAATTTAGAAACCACCCACTTTTGAAGTGTGCATGTTACGCTACTGACTGACAGTCCGTTGTCACACTCTGATGACTCACCATGTTGAACTTAAAATAATCCATCGTTAACAACTCTTGTCCTTCAACGCTAGGTAATAACAATCTGACGCTCAAGTGTTTATTTATGTTTATACTTACATCGAAACTTACATACTCAAAACACAGGACTAAAATTGTTCGTGCGTATTCTTCACACTTTTTTTTATATATTTTTTTTTTTGAGATATGTTTTGATTAACAATTTACCAGGTTTACAATAACTTTAAAACATTTGCAAGATTTCAAAGCAATCGGTTTTCCAGATTCAAAATTAAATTTCAAAATGTTGTTTTATACTTTTGATTTTTTTTCCAAAAATCTGGACGTTTTGGGTAAAAACTCAACACGGCTTCATAAACTACATGTGTAGGACTATGTCATTTTATACAATTTAAAACCTATTTACTATGTACAGTTTTGAAGTGAAGTCATCACATTGTTGGTGAGGATGAACATCAAACATTCGAAAAATTGTATAAATGAAAAAAATAAAAAGGCGAAACGGAAAATTTGACGAAATAAGAAATCAAAATAGCGAAAAATTGAAAAGTTCAAAAATTGAAGAACAAAAATTGAGAAATCGAGAAACTGAAAAAAAAATTGAAAAATCGAAATATTGAATAATTAAAAATTGAAAACGCGTGAAATTGCGGATCAAAAAATTGCAAAATCAAAAATTGAAACATTCAGAAGTGAGAAAATCGAAAAAGGAAAAATTTTATAATGAAAACTCGAGGTCATAAAATTGAAGGAAAAAAATGAAAAAATGAAAATACTCCAAGAATAAAACAAAAGCGATCCCTGAGATCTTTCAAACTACTTAAAAAAAAAACAAAGGGCTCCTCAAGATTCTTTTAAACTACTTCGAAACCAGACACGAGGGGTCCCCGAGATTCTTTCAAACTACTTCAAAAACAAAACAAAAAGGATCCCCGACATCCTTCAAACTACTTCAAAAAGCACACACAAGGAATTCTCAAGATTCTTTCAAAATATTTAAAAAACAAAACAAAAAGGATCCTCGACATTCTTCAAACTACTTCTAAAACCACGCACAAGGTGCTCTCAAAATTCTTTCAAACTACTTCAAAAACACAAGGGAGTCCGCAGATTCTTTCAAACTATTTCAAAAACACAAAGTAGCCCTCAAGATTCTTTCAAACTACTTCGAAAACCAGACACGAGGGATTCCCCAGATTCTTTAAAACTACTTCAAAAACCTAGAACGAGAGGTACTCAAGATTCTTTAAAACTACTCCAAAAACAAAGCAAAAGCGATCCCTGAGGTCTTTCAAACTACTTAAAAAAAAACAAAAGGCTCCTCAAGATACTTTTAAACTAATTCGAAACCAGACACGAGGGGTCCCCGAGATTCTTTCAAACTACTTAAAAAACCAAGGACGAGGGTCCCCGAGATTCTTTAAAACTACTTCAAAAATAAAACAAAAAGGATCCCCGGGATCCTTCAAACTACTTCAAAAAGCACGCATAAGGAATTCTCAAGATTCTTTCAAAGTACTTAAAAAACAAAACAAAAAGGATCCTCGACATTCTTCAAACTACTTCAAAAACCACGCACAAGGGGTCCTCAATATTCTTTAAAACTACTTCAAAAACAAAACAAAGGGCTCCTCAAAATTTTCTCAAATTACTTCAAAAACCACCCACAAGGGTTCTCAACCTTCTTTCAAACTACTTAAAAAAAAACAAAAAGGATCCCCGGGATCCTTCAAACTACTTCAAAAAGCAAGCACAAGGGATTCTCAAGATTCTTTTAAACTTCTTCAAAACAAAAGGGATCGCCGACATCCTTGAAACTACTTCAAAAACCAAGCACGAGGGTTCCGCAAGGTTCTTTAAAACTACTTGAAAAACAAAACAAAAAGGATCCCCGAGATCCTTCAAACTACTGCAAAAACCAAGCACGAGGGGTCCTCAAGATTCTTTCAAACTACTTCAAAAACAAAACAAAAAGGATCCCTAAAATCCTTCAAACTACTTCAAAAACTTAGCACGAGAGGTCCTCAAGTTTCTTTAAAACTACTTAAAAAACAAAAGGGATCCCCGATATCCTTCAAACTACTTCAAAAACCAAGCACGAGGGCTCCTCAAGATTCTTTAAAACTTAGTCAAAAACAAAACAAAAGGGATCCCCAACATTCTTCAAACTACTTCAAAAACCAGTCACGAGGGGTCCTCAAGGTTCTTTAAAATTACTTCAAAAACAAAACAAAAGTGTCCTCAAGATTTTTTCAAATTACTTCAAAAACCAAACACAAGAAGTCTCCGAAATTCTTTAAAATTACATCTAAAACAAAACAAAAAGGGTCCCCGAAATTTTTCAAACTACTTCAAAAACTACGCACAAGGAGTTCTCAAGGTTCTTTCAAACTACTTTGAAAACCAGACACGAGGGGTCCCCGAGATTGTTTTAAACTACTTCAAAAACAGAACAAAAGGGATCCCTGACATCCTTCAAACTACTTCAAAAACCAAACAGGAGAGGTCCTCAAGATTCTTTAAAACTACTTCAAAAACAACACTAAAGGGATCCTCGAGATCTTTCAAACTACTTCAAAAATCAGTTACGAAGGGTCCTCAAGGTTTTTTAAAACTATTTCAAAAACAAAACAAAAGGGTCTTCAAGATTTTTTCAAATTACTTCAAAAACCAAACACAAGAAGTCTCCGAGATTCTTTCAAACTACTTCGAAACCAGACACGAGGGGTCTCCGAGATTCTTTAAAACTACTTCAAAAATAAAACAAAAGGGATCCCCGAAATTCTTCAAACTACTTCAAAAACCACGCACAAAGGGTTTTCAAGATTCTTTCCAACTACTTAAAAAACAAAACAAAGGAGTTCTGGGGATTCTTTCAAACTTCTTCGAAAACCAAACATGAGGGATCCCCGAGATTCTTCAAAATTACTTCAAAAACAAAACAAAAAGGGATCCCCAAGATTCTTCAAACTACTTCATAAACCACACACAAGGGGTGTTCAAGATTCTTTCAAACTACTTCAAAAACAAAACAAAGAAACAAGATTGATTGATAGACAGTTTTCTATTGGCATAATTTTGTATCTAGATAAGTATCGCCCCAGTTACAAAGGTGGCGTTCCAGTCTAATAAGTTCTCATTATTTAATCGCCACGTGTGCAATCGATTTTAGCCTTGGAAAAAAGTGGTGTTCCGATCTATTAATGCATTTCTAGGTTAGAATTTAGATTAACTGTTGTGAAATTAGACTGTAACTTCCTACACTGTACAAAATTTTTGCTGAGAAGACAACAGTCTGAGGTTATGTAAGTCTTTTTTGGAATGACAGATGTCCTAATGTATTTTTGAAATGAATGGATCGAGTGTGTTATTATTAGCTGGACAAAAATTAGATAGTGTTTAATGCCTTAATTTTAAATAGTTTTTATAACCTTAATGTTAAAATGACCCTATAATTTATAACAAAAATTAGAGCGTCCGATATAAAACAAAATTATCGGGTTCTAATCTAATAAAAAGTGATAAAAGGCGATTAGTTAAAGGTTATGTTGACAAAGATTTACGTCAAACTGAGGGCATTTGGGCAGTAGTACCACCCAAAACTTGACCGAAAACACCAACTGTAAATAATTAATTTTACCTATTTGCAATGACAGTCGTAACTTTTGAATTCTTAATGAGGTACTCGTGGTGTATTAACAAAATAAAGTAGTTTTTCTTTGTTCAAAAGTCTACCAAAAACAACATAGCTTTGCTGTAATTTTAAATAGGTTGCCAACCTGACAAAATAATGTCAAAATTGGCGTTAACTGAATTACCTACTATTTTTGACAAGTGTTAGAAACATTTCATCGAAAACAAATTTTGTTTGAAATTGGTAGACCTGTCACTTCACCATACTTCCTGTTATCAAAACTGACGTGGTTTAACGTTGCCTCCTAACCACTTTCCTAATAAAACATGCGCTAAACACGATCAGGTGTGGAAATTTTCTGAAACTTGAATTGTCCTGGCGCCTCCACCATTTTTAGTGCGAATAATCCACACACGAATAGATTGTTTTTAATTTATTTTACAATTTGACAATGCGTTATTTAATCTGACGTTTCCATTTAGGGAAATATATTTTCGCCAACAGAAGGAATTTGAGTACAACACACTCGAGTATTTCTTATTTGCGCAATGATAATTGAAAAATGTGAAAAAAAAATTGTTGACCATTCGGTTATTTTTAAATTAATGGCTTGAATTAACCATTATTATCTTATTATTGTCATTATTGCTTAATCGATATCTATAATTAGTTTTAATTTAAACACACAATGTTATCACTATGACTTTTTTATTATTATTAATGTCAATGTCATTGCTAAGAATTATTTTGATTTCCAAAAAATCTATTTTTCTGCAATCACGAACGTGATATTACCTGAACACAAATATCATAATTGTGATCCATTGTTCTAACTTAAGTCTTTAACATTTTTATTTTAATCGGAGTAGGATGTTAGTCTTTAGACAATTTTAAATTCGTGCGCATGTGCGGCGGTAAATTCAAATCTTCGCTCTCATTAACTTAATTACTACTGGTACATAATACATTATTACTAATATTTGATAGGTTATAACCAATAAATACCTTAATGTTGTTTTACAGCAATAAAACAATAAAAATGGTATTTTATTACCTATAAAACATACTTCATTAACCGGATTTTAAAAATTAACAACTTAGTTGACTGAAAAATAAATTCAGCAGCGAATTCAAATTCCAAAATTCGAAAAATCGCCCTTTCGTATTCAAACAAACTAAAAACTTGAATCCATGAAAGTACTAGCGGAAATTTTCCGCGAATAAACCATGACCTTAGGTTTTTATGAGCAGTAGGCAAACACCACTCTGTCGTGAACATGTGTAGTCACAACAGTGCATTTTTCACAATTAATGTCAACTATTAATCACCGCGACGTGATTCACATTCACGAACTTTAATGAACAATTTTGAGTCAAAAAGTGATTGAACCACCAAGGTCAAACTCATCGAATCACATTTAAATAGAATGATAGCATTTTCGTAAGTAGTTGAACTTAGAACAGTCGCGAAGCTCGTCCGAGCAAAATGGTGAAAATCGAGCGATTAACAGACAGCGTAAAACTGGGCGAAGCCCCACACTGGGACCCCGAAGCACAGACTCTCTACTACGTAGACATCCTGGGCATGTCCATCTATCAATACGAACCAGCCACAAAGAAAGTCAGCAAAGCCTCAGTCGGTCTAAACCTAGTGTCGTTCATCATACCAGTGGAGGGTGAGAAAAACCAGTTCATAGTGTCCCTAGGACGAGAAATAGTGCGGATCTTCTGGAACAGTGAACTCCAAGACGTTCGAGTGATCGAGCAACTAGCGGAAGTGGAACAAGCGCCGGAATTTTTCGAAAGTAGATTCAACGATGGAAAGTGCGACCCTTTGGGGAGGCTATGGGCTGGGACTTTCAACACAGTTTCCGAAAAACCGCTGGATTATCCACCTAAAGGAGCTCTATATAGTTTGAACTCGGAACGACAAATCCAGCAGCACCTCAAAGGGTTGAGACTGAGCAATGGAATCGCTTTCAATATTAAACTAAAAGCGATGTACTTCATAGACTCGGGTAAAGGGACTATTGACCAGTACGATTTTGACATCAAAGCAGGAACGATCTGTAACTATAAACATTTGTTTGAGAAATGTAACTTAGAGGAAATTTCCAGCAAAATGTCGAGCGATTTTCACGTTAAGTAAGCACCAAATAAGTGGGATTGCTGATGGTATGACGATCGACATTGATGGTAATTTATGGGTGGCTATCTTCAACGGTAGCAGGATTATCAAAATCGATCCCCGAAAACCCGAAACGCTTCTAGACTCGATTCAAATGCCGGTGAAACAGGTAACACAAAGCAGTTTTAGTAGGGTGAATTTTTATATGAAGCGGTTGTTTAGATAACGTCACTGACTTTTGGCGGTCCCAATTTGGACGAATTATACGTGACAACCGGCGCCTACAAGCTCGAAAATGAGGACCTTCCACCACCTGAAAATGGTGCTCTGTATCGAATTACCGGTGTGGGTACTAGGGGATTGCCGGCGACGAATTTTCGTTTTATAAACATCTGATTTAAATGGAATTTTCCTTCTGCTTTGTTTAACAGTAAAGATAAAGTCTATTAATAACTACTGTTATCTCGGTAGTGTCAATTAAACGGGTTTTTTTGTTTGTAAACAATCTTACTAAATCTTGAGTAATTGTTGTCATGTGATTCATTAAAATAATTATTATTCTGTGCCACTGCTGTAATTCTTACGTACAACAATGGAAAAGTTCTTAATAGAGGTACACTTATTTTAATTGCTTGTATAAACTTTACTTACAAAAGTTGTTTGAGTGTTGTAAATAATAATAAAAATGGTAATAAAATTTTAACGCCTAATGAAAGAGAAAATAATACGGTAGAAAATAGATCCAAGGACAAGGATACAGTGGGAACAAAACAAAGGAAGTGTTAATGTATTTCACACTTTTAACAGTCGACTAAAACGGATTTTTAAAGATGATCTTTTACTATACGAGTATCGTGTAACTAAAGATTACAAGGAATCAAAGTTGGCTATACTTTTACGTCAGTTTTTGGTTTTTCTGTCATGTCGTTAATTTTCTTTGGTGATTTTGGAGCCATGAAAGTGATAATTGTAAGTTAAAAATATGTTAACATGTTAAAATCTCTATTACTGCCTTCCAAATCCTGGTATTTTTTTCAAATTAAACAAGTTTTGAATAACCTTGAAAATTTAGTATTCTATAATGCGTGTAAGGATACCCACATGTAATTTTCACATTTTTCAAGAGAACTAAATCTGTACTATCAATTTGACATTTCAAGTGTGCTCGAACTTTATCGTGACGATAGTGAGACAACTAAAATTTATCTATTGACTCCTCCAAAAAATTTGATTGTGCGGAATTTTACTTTTTCGTGATAACCTAAGTATTAAAAAAATAAATTTAGAAACCACCCACTTTTGAAGTGTGCATGTTACTCTACTGACTGACAGTCCGTTGTCACACTCTGATGACTCACCATGTTGAACTTAAAATAATCCATCGTTAACAACTCTTGTCCTTCAACGCTAGGTAATAACAATCTGACGCTCAAGTGTTTATTTATGTTTATACTTACATCGAAAGAATGTCACGTAGAAAATAGTTTGATTTGAATGAGTTTGTGTTCTCAAAACACAGGACTAAAATTGTTCGTGCGTATTCTTCACACTTTTTTTTTATATATATTTTTTTTTTGAGATATGTTTTGATTAACAATTTACCAGGTTTACAATAACTTTAAAACATTTGCAAGATTTCAAAGCAATCGGTTTTCCAGATTCAAAATTAAATTTCAAAATGTTGTTTTATACTTTTGATTTTTTTTCCAAAAATCTGGACGTTTTGGGTAAAAACTCAACACGGCTTCATAAACTACATGTGTAGGACTATGTCATTTTATACAATTTAAAACCTATTTACTATGTACAGTTTTGAAGTGAAGTCATCACATTGTTGGTGAGGATGAACATCAAACATTCGAAAAATTGTATAAATGAAAAAAATAAAAAGGCGAAACGGAAAATTTGACGAAATAAGAAATCAAAATAGCGAAAAATTGAAAAGTTCAAAAATTGAAGAACAAAAATTGAGAAATCGAGAAACTGAAAAAAAAAATTGAAAAATCGAAATATTGAATAATTAAAAATTGAAAACGCGTGAAATTGCGGATCAAAAAATTGCAAAATCAAAAATTGAAACATTCAGAAGTGAGAAAATCGAAAAAGGAAAAATTTTATAATGAAAACTCGAGGTCATAAAATTGAAGGAAAAAAATGAAAAATTGCAAATCGAAAATTTGAAAAAACGAAAAATTAAAAAAAAAATATATAATCAGAACTTCGAATACTAAAAAAATTGTAGAATAAAAAAAAATAAATAAAGCGAAACGAAATGACTAAAGAAGCGAAAAATCTAAAAACCGAAGGAACAAAAAAAAATTTAAAGATCGCAAATCGAAAAATTGAAGGAACAAAAATTGAAAAATCTAAAATTGAGGAACCGAAAAATTAAAAAATTTAAAAATTGAAAAATTGAAAAATCCAAAACTGAAAAATTGAAAAATTCTTATTTGAAAAAAGAAAAATTATAAAATCAGAACTTTGGAAACCCGAAAAATTGAAAACACTAAGTAATTACAAATTGCAAATCCAAAAAGTGAAGCAATGAAAAACTGAAAAATCAAAAATTCAAAACTCCTGAAATTGCAAATCAAAAAATTGCAAAATCTAAAAATTGAAATAGTCAGAAGTTGGAAAATTTAAAAATAAAATCTCGAAGTCGTAAAATTGAAAGCACAAAAAAATGGGAAATTGCAAATCGAAAAATTGAAGAAACGAAAAGTTGAAAAAAAAGAAAATTATAAAATCAGAACATCGAAACCTCAAAAATTTGTGTAAATAAAAAATAATAAAAATGAGAAACGAAAAATTTGTAGAAATGGGAAATTAAAAGAACCGAAAAAATCCAAAAATTTAAAAATTGAAGGAACAAAATTGAAAAATCGAAAACTTGCAAATTGGAAAATTGAAAAACTGAAAATTATAAAATTAAACAATTGAAAAATTCAAATTCTAAAAATTGAAAAATCAAAAAAAACTAAAAACTGAAAAGTTGCAAATTGGAAAACTGAAAAATTGAAAAAATTAAGAAAATACAAATTGCAAATCCAGAAATTGAAGCAATGAAGAATTGAAAAATCAAAAGTTGAAACCTCCTGAAATTGCAAATCAAGAAATTGCAAAATCTAAAAATTGAAACATTCAGAAGTTAGCAAATTTAAAAATAAAAACATAAAAGTCATAAAATCAAAGGCACAAAAAAAAATGGGAAATTGCAAATCGAAAAATTGAAGAAACGAAAAATTGAAAAAAAAAGAAAAAATTATAAGATCAGAAATTCGAAAACTCAAAAATTTGTGTAAATAACAAAGAATAAAAAAAGAGAAACGAAAAATTTGCAGGAGTGAGAAATTAGAAGAAGCGAAAAATTGAAAAATTTAATTATTGAAGGAACAAAAATTGAAAAATCGAAAAACTGGAAATTTAAAATTGAACAACTGTAAAATTAAAACTCTAAAAATAAAAAAATCGAAAAGTTGCAAATTGGAAAATTGAAAAAATTAGGAAAATACAAATTGCAATTCCAAAAATTGAAGCAAATCAAAAAATTACTATATCTAAAACGTGCTAAGAGTTAGAAAATCGAAAAACTGAAAAATTTTAAAATGAAAACTTGAACGCGTAAAATTGAAAGAGTTAGAATTAAAAAGTGATCAATTGAAAAGTTGAATAAACGAAATACTGAAAGAATTGAAATTGAAAAGACAAAAAATTATAAAATCGTAAGACAGAAAACTGAAAAATTATAAAAATAAAGAAAATAAAACATCTAAACGAAAATTTTCAAATCAAAATGTAGAAGAAGTGAGAAATTAAAGAATCGAAAAACTGAGAATTCAGAATTGAAAACCCGAGAAATTTTAAATCAAAAATTGCAAATTTTAAAGATTGAAGAAACAAAATAAAATTTAAAAATTTAAAAACCCCAAATACAAAAATTGAAGAATTTAAAATTGAAAAAACAAAAAATTGTAAAATGTGAACATTGAAAAATCGAATAATAGAAAAGGTAAAGAAAATAGAAAACCGAAACGAGAAATTGCAAATCGAAAAAAGGAAGAAATGAATAATAGAAAAAATCAACAAATTTAATAATTAAAAACTGAAAACTCGTGATATCGCAAGTCAAAAATTGCAATATCTAAAATTGGAACATTCAAAAGCTGCAAAATCGAAAAAATTAAAAATTTCAAAATGAGAACTCTATAAAATTTGACAACAATCGGTCCAGTACTTTCGGAGATTATCTGTCTAATCAAAATTCAGGACGGCGGACGGACAGACGGATAGACGGACAGACAGACAGACAAACAGAAACGGGAAACCTATTTCTTCATACTCTAGGGGCCATGAAAGGTAGAGATAAGACTGATTGTGGCAAATTACATACCCCTAAGAATATAGAGGGCATGGAGGCGGAGCTAGTATTTGTTAAATTAAGATTGATTTTTGGTAAATGACTGAACAATATTAAGAGTAATCACTGGAATGAAGAGGAGGTGGGTGGGCGGGGCTATGGCTTGCTTATAAAAGATTCTGCAGGAAAAAGTTAAACTTAGCCCCGCCCGCCCACCCGTTCTCTCAATTTTTTTTCACAAATAAGAAATAAATGTTATAGCAAATAAGTTGTATAACAAAAAAATTACGAGCAACGGTTTTTTTTAACAGCCTAAGCACAGTTTACAAAAGAACATATAATGACTCATTCATTACCTTACACAATTTAGAACCCATTTACTATGTACAATTTTGAAGTGACGTCATGATATTATTGGTGGGGATGATTATACAAAGTCTGGTTACCGTTTTACCATCTACATTCTATTCATAATAATCATAATATACATATAAAATTTGACAATTATGGGTCCAGTAATTTCGGATTATCTGCCTAATAAAAATCCGACAGACGGCAGACAGACATACAGACAGACGGACACATAGACAGACGGAAACGTAAAAGTAGAGAGTCGGTCGACAACACTACGCTCGGAAAATGAAAATAATAAGAAATTTTTACTAGCGAATTTTCCATTTTATCTTAGAAAGTACAAACGAACTTCTATGGAGCCATGATAAGACTTATTAGACGTTAACGATAACTAATTTATTAATCCCCTCTACTAAGTTGATGACGTCAAGATACTGAAATGAGGGTTGAAAATATGTTCCATTATGTTTCATGTGTTTCGCTAACAAAAGTTATACACAGATTTAACAATATCACATATAATTTGATTTATTACCTACAACTTAGGATAATTACCTTTAATAAAACAATTAGCTCTTATAAAACATCGTGCACGAGACACATACATACAAACGTGTCGCGACGTTCGGAACCACAGTAGATTACAACGGAAAAGGAAAATATACAGTTGGAAAATACAGTGAAATACGGTAAGTTTTTCATACATAGTTAATATTCCATTTTTGTATAATACTGTTTCATTTTAAGCTTGATTTGATAAATCACCTGAATGCGATTTTTTCGATTTATCAAAAAATCAAAGTGTTATCATTTCATTATAAATATTAGACAAAAGTTCAAACAGAAAAACGAAGCAACAGTTAAATTATTTAAGGTTCAAAATTTGCAGGAAGTCACAGTCATCTGAAATGAAGTTTAATTTATGTTTTGTTTTAATACGCGGAAATAGATTGCGTACTTTTAAACCTTGTGGTTGCAACTGTGGTTTTTCTATATAATTTTAAATTTCAGGGACAGTGGACTTATCCTAAATCGTTCTATCCCACAAAATTATCATTAAACTCACAGTCAAAATTAGGACATACACCCATTGTACATGAGAGCTTATACTGATCTTGATTATGTTAATGACTTAAGTTAAAGCAACAATTAAGTAATTTGAGTGTACAGGATGTACGAATATTTTATGTAACGTTTTTCGAAATACGTTTCTATTAATTAAAAAAAGTGGAATAAAAATATGAAATAGCAATCTACTCGTAATCATAACAAAGAACATTACTTTTTTATTTTGTTTTATTCTACGGTGACCTTGCAAAAAACATTAAGTAAAATTATCACAAAACCACTAAAATAATATGAAAGCACTATTAAATTCACGTCACGCTAATTACAGTGCAACGAAATTGCAGACACCTCTATGTTCCAATTCTCGTAGTCATGGCAAGTGAACACCGTATCATAATACATGTTCTAATCTTTACCTTCTTCACCAGTCTACATTTATTTTTTGTAGTGGCAATGTCTCCAAAAGTAGAAAAAATAGTGGACAGCGTTGAACTAGGGGAAGGTCCTCACTGGGACACGCAAACCCAAAGCCTTTATTTCGTCGATATTTACGGAAAAGCGATTCACAAATATGTCCCGTCCACAAAAAAGCACACGAAGGCTGTTATTGGTACGTACGCTAAAAAAATCTACACACTTAACTACAAACTTGCAGGAACCAATCATGTGTCACTGATCGTTCCTGTGGAAGGACAGAAGGACAAATTTCTCGTTAGTGTAGGCCGGGATTTGGTCATAGTCACTTGGGACGGACTAAGCGAAAAAATCTCTCACCAGGAAAAAATCTACGAAGTCGATGATCACCCAGACACTCTTACTAACAGATTTAACGATGGAAAATGCGACGCCTCTGGACGCCTATGGGCAGGTTCAATGGGGCCTCAACCAGTCAACGGCTACGTAGAACCCCATAAGGGTTGTTTCGTAAGTTTCGGACCCAACAAACAAGTCAAGACCCATATGACGAAAGTCGGGATTTCCAACGGGCTTGCTTGGAGTCTGGACAACAAGCATTTTTATTACATCGATACGCACAAAGGGACTGTGGACCAGTACGATTTTGACTTGAAAAACGGCACGATTTGTGAGAATTTCATAACTGTGAGATTAAAATAAAAATCGTTCTTTTTCAGCCAACTGTAAAGCAATTTTTACTTTAAGCCAGACAGATATTAAAGGTGCTCTTGATGGTATGGCGATTGATACAGACGGGAATTTGTGGATTGCGATTTTTGGCGGTGATAGAGTTATTAAAATCGATCCACGTAAACCTGAAACCTTGTTAGAAAGTATACAGTTGCCTGCTCATCAGGTAATTTTCACCCTGTATATACGGTTTTTTCATTTAATTTGTTTGTAGATAACTTCAGTGGCTTTTGGGGGGCCTAATTTAGATCAGCTTTATGTTACAAGTGCTAAGTTGACAACAGATGGTATTGAATACCCGCCTCCAGATCATGGTGCCACGTATGTAATAACTGGTACTGGGTCTAAAGGTCTACCAGGAGTTAGTTTCAAATTGTAAACGTCTAAATTGAAAATGATTGTGAATAGCAAAGTAGTAAAAATTCAGTTTTATTAGTTCAAATTTAAATTAATATTAAATGTACTTAAGTAATAAACTATTTTTTATATCATTAATTATTTAATAGGATTATACAAAAAAAATCTACATGCAGAAGGGGTATGTAATTAGCGCAATTTTAAGATGACGTCAACAATTTTTTGGAAGGGGTAAATAGATGAATTCTGATTAATAGTCAGTGTTTTTAATTTAAGTATGTATTAAGTAATATGACACCGCCTATCTGCTTTATTAATAAAAGTTTGAGATTAGATACGTCATCAGTTCTTTGTGAGGAAGCAATGGATAAGTTAATAATGACATTTTACCATGCCAACATGAACTTAATGAATTCTTTAACTTTCAGACAAATCGCTGGAGTTGTTTAAAGATTAGCCCCTAAAAAAATTTCTATCACAGGATTTTCATCCGGAAGCAAGAAACCTGCACTTTCCTATTCTTGGAACTACGAAACATTAAAACCCCATGAAATCAGACCCTTCATTAACTGTCGATATGTGGTCACACATTCACAGCATTATTTTGAAAATATTATTTCACAATGACTTTTTTTCTTTTATAATTCTGCTGGCACAAGTCTTCTGTAATGGCTAGCTGAATATTTTTAAATAACACCCCCAATTCCAATATAAAATATATTTAAAGCAGATAAGCAACGGGGAACAATGTATTATCAATACATGCTTAACTTGAATTGTTTATGTTTATACATCGAAAGAATGTGACGATTAAGCACGTCGCAAATTAGGTGATTTGAATGATTTTGTCTGCTCAAACCAGAGAAGCGAAAAAAAAAATCGAAAAACTGAGAAGCAAAAAATGGAGAAATTGAAAAATCGCTAAATCGGAAAACTGACAATCGAGAAATTAAGAAATTGAACAACTGAGAAATCGACAAATTGAAAAAACGAAAAATAGAAATTTGAGAACTCGAAATATCGAAATTTGAGAAAACGAAGAATTCTAAAAGCTGAAAATCTAAAAATTATACAATCAAAAAAACGAAAAATTGAGAATTTTGGAATTTGTGTTTTGAATTTGTATGTCGAATTTGCATTTTGATTTTTCAACATCAAAATAAAAATTTGAAAAATCAAAATATGGAAAATAGAAAATTTGCACAATCGAAATATTCAAATGAAAATTCGAAAAATCAAGAAATCGAAAAAAATGAAAATCGAGAAATCGAAAAATGTACCAAAAATTCTATGAATTAAGTAAAAATCTGAATAATCTAAAAATCGAAAAACGGGAAATCGAAAAATTGAGAAATTGGAAAATTGAAGAATAAAAAAATTAAAAATTTGAAAAATCAAAAAATCCAATGATCAATCAATTGAAAAAATGAAAAATTGAGAATTCGAAAAATCGAAATATTAAGCAACGAAAAATAAAAATAAAAATTCGAAAAATAGAAAAATTTAAAATCGAGGAATTGAAAAATGCAAAATCAAAAAAATGGAGAACTTGAGAAATTGAGAATTTGAAAATTCGAAAAACGAAAAAATTGAGAATTCGAACAATCGAAATATCGAAAGATTAACAATAAAAAATCGAAAAATAAAAATAAAAATTCGAAAATCGAGAACTTGAAAAACTGAGAATTCGAAAATTAGAAAAACCAAAAAATTGAGAATACGAAAAATCGAAAAATGTAGAATCAAAAATTCGATAATTTGGGAAATTGGGAAACCGAAAAATCTAAAAATCGAAAAGTTAAAAAATCAAAAAGCAAAAATTTGAAAAATCCAAAAATCGAAAATCGAGAAATCGAAAAATTGAGAACTTGGAAAATTGAAAAATAAAAAAAAATCAAATTTGAGAAATCAGGAATTCCAAAGATCAAGCAGTTGAAAAAACGGAAAATTGAGAATTTGAAAAATCGAAATATCGGACAAAGAAAAATCGAAAAATAAAAATGAAAATTCGAAAACGGAAAATTGAGAAATTGAAAATCGAAAAATCGAAAAATGCAAAATCAAAAAAGCGGAGAAATTAAGAAAGCGAGAAGTTAAGAAATTGGGAATTTGAAACTTCGAAAAACGAAAAAATTGAAAATTCGAACAATCGAAATATCGAAAATTTAACAATAAAAAATCGAAAAATAAAAATGAAAATTCGAAAATCGAGAACTCGAGAAACTTTCGAAAATTCGAAAAACTAATAAATTGAGAATACGAAAAATCGAAAAATGTAGAATCAAAAATTCGATAATTTGGGAAATTGGGAAATCGAGAAAATTAGAACTAGAATGAAAAAGTGGGAATTCGAAAAATCTAAAAGTCGAAAATTTAGAAAATCAAAAAGCAAAAATTTGAAAAATCCAAAAATAGAAAATCGAGAAATCGAAAAATTGAGAACTTGGAAAATTGAAAAATAAAAAAATTGAAAAATAAAAATGAAAATTCGAAAATCAAAAAATCGAGAAATTGAAAAATGCAGAATGAAGAAATTGAGACATCGAGAACTTGAGAAATTGAGAATTTGAAAATTCGAAAAATCGAGAAATCGAAAAAGCAAAAATCTGAATAATCTAAAAATCAAAAATCGGAAAATCGAAATATTTGGGAACTTGGAAAATCGAAAAATAAAAAAATTGAAAATTTTAAAAATCAGGAAATTCAAACATCAAGCAGTTGAAAAAACGAAAAATTGAGAATTCGAAAAATCGAAATTTCGAACAACGAAAAATCGAAAAATAAAAATGAAAATTCGAAAACGAAAAATCGAGAAATTGAAAATCGAGAAAATGAAAAATGCACAATCAGAAAAAATGGAGCAAGTGAGAAATCAAGAACTTGAGAATTTGAGAATTTGAAAATTCGAAACACTAAAAAATTGAGAATTCGAAAAATCGGGAAATCGAAAAATGTAGAACCAAAAATTCGATAAATTGAGAAATTAGGAAATCGAAACATCGAGAAAATGATAAATCGAGAAAAACTAGATTGAAAAACTGAGAATTCAAAAAATCAAAAAATCTTGGAAAATTGAAAAATAAAAAAATTGAAAAATTGAAAAAATCGAGAAATCAAGCAATTAAAAAAACGGAAAACTGAGAATTCCAAAAATCGAAAAATCGAAAATCGAGCAACGAAAAATCGAAAAATAAAAATAAAAATTCGAAAATCGAAAAATGCAGAATCGAAAAAATGAAGAAATTGAGAAATGGAAAACTTGACAAATTGAAAATTTTTGAAAATCGGGAAATTGAAAAATTGAGAACTTGGAAAATTGAAAAATAAAAAATCGAAAATTTGAAAAAAATCCAGAAATCAAGAAATCGAAAAATGTAGAATCATAAAATGGAGAAATTGAGAAATCAAGAAATCGACAAATGCAGAACCAAAAATTCGATAAATTGAGGAATTGGGAAATCGAGAAAACTAAAACTAGAATGAAAAATTTAGCATTCGAAACATCAAAAATTTGAAAAATCTAAACAAAAATCGGGAAATCGAAAATAGAGAACTTGGATAATTGAAAAATAAAAAAATTAAAATTTGGAAACATCGAGAAGTCCACAGATCAAGCAATTGAAAAAATGAAAAATTGAGAATTCGAAAAATCGAAATATCGAAAATCGAACAACTAAAAATCGAAAAAAAAAACTGACAATTCCAAAACCGGTAAATCGGTAAAATGCAGAATCAAAAAAATTAAGAAATTGAGAAATCGAGAACTTGAGAAATTGAAAATTTGAAAATTCGGAAAACCAAAAAATTGAGAATTCTAAAAATCGAGAAATCGAAAAATGTAGAACCAAAAATTCGATAAATTGAGAAACTGGAAAATCGAGAAACTGAGAAATCGAGAAAAGTAGAACCAGAATGAAAAACTGAGAATTTGAAAATTTAAAAAATTGGAAATTTGAAAAATCGAAAAAGCAAAAATTTTAAAAATCTAAAAATTGAAAATTGGGAAATGAAAAAATTGATAATTTGGAAACTTGAAAATTTCAAAAAATCGATAAATCCAAAGATCAAGCAATTGAAAAAACTAAAAATTCAGACTTCGAAAAATCGAAATGTCGAAAATCGAGCAACGAAAAATCGAAAAATCCAGAATCAAATAGTGAAGAAATTGAGAAATTAAAAACTTGAGAAATTGAGATTTTGAAAATTGGAAAAATTGAGAAATCGAAAATGTAGAACTAAAAATTCGATAAATTAAGAAATTGAGAAATTGGGAAATCGAGAAATTGAGAAATTGAGAAACCTAGAACTAGAATGAAAAGTTGAAGATTCGAAAAATCTAAAAATCGAAAATTTGAAAAATCGAGAAAACCAAAGATCAAGTAATTGAAAAAACGAAAAATTGAGAAAAATAAAAATGAAAATTTGCAAATAGGAAAATCGAAAAACTGAAAAATGGAGAATCAAACAAGTGAGTTTCTGCAAAATTTTGTAATGACGTCGTCAACATTTTTAAAAGGACATATATCAATTCAGATAGATACACAGTACTGTATTCCCAAATTTTCGGAAAAATGGAATGAGTCGTTCTTGATCTAATTAATGAATAATTGTATAATAAATACAATAAATTGCCTCATTCATTCACTTTTTTTTAGTAACCCTGTATAAGTATATCTAAAAATTATGAGTACATTGATAAACTACAAATATTCAACCATAAAATTTTTCATATTACAGAGAGGATTAATTCGTCACAATTTTGAGACGACGTCATCAATCTTTTGGGAGGGAATAAACAAGTAAATTTTGATTAACGATTTACCATGATTACGATAACCTTAAAACGTTTGCAAGATTCCAGAGCATTTGATTTTGCAGCTTCAAAGTTAATTAAATTTCAAAATGTTTTAGACAATTTCGATTTTTTTTTTCAAAAATCTGGATGTCTTGGGCTAGGGTGAACACTCAAGACAAATTCGACACCACAATTGCAGGTGTATTTCATTTTATAGAATTAAAAAATATATATACACAAGAAATCCATCAAAACCAAGGTTTAAATTCCGCTACAAGTGCGAGCGCATGGGCGATTGCCTATATTACTGAATGAGTTTTTCCTCTATTTTTAATTTTTCAAATGTAGTTTCGCAATCTTGTTGTTTCTCTGAACGCGAAATTAAAATTTCAAATTTGGTATACCACAAATTTGTAAATCAAATCTTACGTTCGGTCAAGAGACAAAAATTGCAAGGTAAGCTTGAAAACAGTGCAGCAGAAGAAAAATAGTAGGTACTAAACGACGAAGATCTAGAATACTCTAGAATTTTATTCCGACTAAAACAATGTAAGTATTATTAGTGTCAAAGTGAAATGTCACTATGTGTCTCATATTATCACAAACAAAACATTATTTTCTCATTCTACACAGTCAGATTACATTAATTATATATTTTTTTCCGAACATTGTATTCATACTCTACGTATGAAGATTAGTAAAATTATCAACGTGAAAGCTCACGAAACTTAATCCAAATTCGACTATGTTTAAAAAACTGCAGAACAATTACATTGCATCACAAAACAGAAACGTCTCTCCAACATAAACAGTTTATAAATAATGTACACTCAATTGTACGAAATTATCAGCGCCCACAACTTCTTCGAATGACTGAAATCGACGCAACAGGTGCAGTAGCTATCACAAAACCGATAAAACGTGCTGAATTGCAGCACACCAATCAAGAAAATATTTAAAACATGAATTAATTACCAATCGCAACCGGTATTCTTGCTTTTCTCATCTCCCGCTAATCTCTATTGACATTTTCATGCCCGAATTCCTGATAATACCTATCAGAAAAATCCGTTTATATACGAATTAAGCCACAGCTATTTCAGGGTCAGTGTTAACGACTAACAAGCCTCGATTGTTGACTTATTTAAACCAACAGAGACACAATCGTGCAATCGTTCACGCAACATGGCACCGAAAGTGGAGCGAATTACAGAAGCTACGGAATTAGGAGAAGGTCCTCACTGGAACGCAGCCACCCAGAGCCTCTACTTCGTGGATATTTTCGGAAAATCAATACACCGGTATGTGCCGGCAACAAAAAAACACACGACGGCTGTCATCGGTGAGTGGACACGTGTTTTCATTCATAATGTAAATAGGAACGGCGGTGTTTGTACGTGGAAATAGCATAATAATATTCTTGATGTGTTTCTGTATTTGCTTAACCTAGAAATGTCCGTCTTAGTTAATCTTTAGTGATAATTCGAGATGCATTTCTGGCTGTATTTTTGGATGTAACGCAATATCAGATGTATATCGAGCGATAAGTAGAAAAAATATTATTATGGGGTCATTCTATTAAGTAATCATGTGACACGTTTCTTTATTTGTGGTTTAAAAGTCCGCCCCTAGATTACGTATACATGAGCTCCAAAAAAAAAATGTGTCTCATTTTTTTTTAATTATTCTGAAATTTCTCTCCAAAAATGAAAATTTTCAATACATAAGTATCTCTCTTATGCAATTTCCAGCTATTTTCGAAATTTAACCAAATATATTCTGGCTTCACTTCTTTGATAACTCTAATCGTGTCCCCAGAATGGCTCATTGAAATAACGGAATTTTTTAAAATTTCAAAAAATTGGAATTTCACTCTGAATATTTCGAAAATATTGCTTCGTGACAACAAACCCACTGTATTTTTGGAATCAGCACGTCGATATCTACATCCTTGAATTTTTTGAGAATTTTAAGACAATTTTTTTTTAAATTGAAATTTTTCCCTTCTTGAAATTTCGGCCCATTTTTGACCATTTTCGAAACTTCACTAAATACATTTTCTTGTAGATTTCGAGCCCCAGAACTCACTTCCTGCCTAGTTTCTTTGATAACTTCAACAGTTTTTTCAAAATCGACAGTTGAAATATCGAAATATTTGGAATTTTTGAAAATTTTGTCTTTAAAACGGAACATTTTGAACATGCATGCGCCGTATTTTTGTAATCAGCACGTCGAGATCTACATCCCTGAATTTTTTGAGAATTTGTAGACAACTTTTTTAAAGTGAAATTTTTGAAAACCGAAAAATTAAAAAATAGGAGACGCAAAACCACAAAATTGAAAACAACGGAAAAATAAAATGACTAAAAATTGAAAAATCGAAAAATACTTCAAGAATTGTAAAAATTAAAAATTAAAAAATCGAAAAATGACACCAATGAAACATCTAAGAGCTTAAGAATTCGAGAAATTCAAAATATAAAAATTGAATAACTTGAAAATTAAAAATTGAGAGACGAAAAATTACAAAATTCACGAAAAAAAATTAAAATAACTACAAATCGAAAAATATTAAATCGAGAAAATAAAAATCGAAAAATTGAACACCGAGAAATTGGATAATCAAAAATGAAAAACTTAAAAATTGTTACACTGGAACATCCAAAAACAGAAAAATTAAAAAAATGTAATATACATATTTGAAAAATCGAAAAACTGCTAAACCGTAAAGTTGAAGAAACGAAAATTTGAAAAATTAAAAATTAAAATTTGAGAAACAACACCGCAACATTGAGGAATTGAAAAAAAATAGAAAATTTAAAATTGAAAAACTGCAAATCAAAAAATTAAAATAAACAAAAATTAAACACAACAATTGTGAAAACGAAAAATTGCGAAATTAAAATCGAATAGTTAATTTAAATTGAATTAATCTTTATTTACATTACTGAATTATTATTTTATTTAGTTTGATTTATGTAGTAATAATAATCGGGAAAATGAAAAACAAATTGAAAAATCTGAATATTAAAAATCGAGAAACGAAAAATTGAAAATGGAGAAACCGAAAAATTATAAAAACCGAGGAAGTGAAAAATGGAAAAACTCATACGTCGAAAGTTTGAAAAATTAAGTATATACGTAATTGAAATTAAAAATAGCAAAATCGTAAAATTGAGGAAAGGAAAAATTTAAAATTGACAATTAGAAAAATCGAAACATTGAATCGAAAAATTAAAAATCGTGAAACAAAAATACAAATGCTTATTCACCCAGAAACGATTAATTGTTATCCCATTTTTACTTTCCGAACGTAAGTTAAGAAAATATTTAGTGAAAGCGAGTCCATCGGGCGACTGGATACTTTTAGGTTTTCTGGACGTTTTATGACCCCTATAATACGAAAATATCCAGATTTTTTGAAAAACCTATTCAAATTAATATACGTGTCCTTGCTGCAATGCTTATGACCTCATTAAAAAAAATTTATATGGAAAAAGTCACTAGAAACATATGCATACTACACTTTTCACCTGTATTTTAACAATCCACGCATTTTAGCTCATAAGGGTCATCAACAAAGAAAAAAGTGAACTCAAAGTTAAATTTGATAATAATAAATTGTTCGACTGTACTTCAGGGACGAGGGAAGATTTGTCAAAATAGCCTTCCCTCAATTTTTTTCAATCGTTTTAGTGCGGAATCCTCTCCCTTTGGACTGTAAAAAAATTAAGCTTCTCTCATTCGCCTTTTCAGATTTTACAAAATAACGCAACAAAATAAAGATAATACATTTTTGACCATTTTTGAAACTTAACGAAATATATTTTCTTGTAAATTTCGAGCCCTAGAGCTCACTTCCTGCCTAGTTTCTGTGATAACTCCAACAGGTTTTCCAGAATCGACAGTTGAAATACCGAAATATTCTGAATTTTTGAAAAATTTGTCTTTAAAACGGAACATTTTGAAAATGTTGCGCGTTGGACATGCACGCGCCATATTTTTGTAATCAGTACGTCGAGAGCTACATCCCTGAATTTTTTGAGAATTTTTAGACAACTTTTTTAAAAGTGAAATTTTTCCAATACTCCCCTCCTCTTCAAATTTCGGCGAATTTTTGACCATTTTCGAAACTTAACTAAACATATTTTATTGTAAATTTCGAGCTCTAGAACTCACTTCCAGCCTTGTTTCTATGATATCTGTAATAGTTTTTCTAGAATCGAACGTTGAAATCTCAAAATTTTTGGAAATTTTGAAAAATTTGTCTTTCAAACCGCACATTTTGAAAATGTTGTGCGATGAACATATAAGCGTCATATTTTTGGAATCACTACGTCGACATCTACATCCCTGAATTTTTTGAGAATTTCTAGACAACTTTTTTAAAAATGAAATTTTTCAAATTTAGACCCATTTTTGACCATTTTCGAAACTTCACTCAAGATATTTTTTTGTAGATTTCGAGTCCTAGAACTCACTTCCGGCCTTGTTTCTTTGATATATCTAATAGTTTTTCTAGAATCGACAGTTTAAATCTCGAAATTTTTGGAAATTTTGAAAAATGTTGCACGATGAACATATATGCGTCATATTATTGGAATCAGCATGCTGAGATCTACATCTTCGATTTTTTTCAGACTTTTTAGACAACTTTTTTAAAAGTGAAATTTTTCTGATTCGGCCCATTTTTGACCATTTTCGAAACTTAACTAAATATATTTTCTTGTAAATTTCGAGCCTTAGAACTCACTTCCAGCCTTGTTTCTTTGATATTGCCAATAGTTTTTTCAGAATCGACAGTTGAAATCTCAAAACTTTTGGAAATTTTGAAAAATTTGTCTATAAAACCGCACATTTTGAAAATGTCGCGCGATGAACATACATGCGTCACATTTTTGGAATTAGCACGTCGAGATTTACATTCCTACATTTTTTGGGAATTTTTAGACAACTTCTTTAAACATGAAATTTTTCCAATACTCCCCCCTTCAAATTTCGGCCCATTTTTGACCATTTTCGAAACTTCACTAAATATATTTTCTTGTAGATTCCGAGCCGTAGAACTCACTTCCGGTCTTGTTTCATTCATATCACCAACAGTTTTTCTACAATCGACCGTTGAGATCTCGAAATTTTTGGAAATTTTGAAAAATATGTCTTTAAAACCGCACATTTTGAAAATGTTGCGGGATGAACATATGTGCGTCATATTTTTGGAATTAGCACGTCGAGATCTACATCCTTGAATTTTTTGGGAATTTTTAGACAACTTTTTTAAAAGTGAAATTTTTCCAATACTACCCTTCTTCAAATTTCGGCCCATTTTTGACCATTTTCGAAACTTCACTAAATATATTTTCTTGTAGATTCCGAGCCGTAGAACTCACTTCCGGTCTTGTTTCATTCATATCACCAACAGTTTTTCTACAATCGACCGTTGAGATCTCGAAATTTTTGGAAATTTTGAAAAATTTGTCTTTAAAACCGCACATTTTGAAAATGTTGCGGGATGAACATATGTGCGTCATATTTTTGGAATTAGCACGTCGAGATTTACATCCCTACATTTTTTGTGGACTTTGTAGCAACTTTTTCAGAAGCTCAGTTTTTCAATATTTGGAGATTTATGAAAATTTCGACCTTTTTTGACCACCTTCAAAAATTACCTAATCAGATTTTTGTAGATTCCGTCCTCTAGAAATTATTTTCGGCTTCATTTCTTCAAACACTGGTACCATTTTCCCAGAATCGCCAATGAATTATGGATTTTTTTAATAAAAAAAAAACTTTCAATCCGAATATTTCCAAAATCTTGCTTCAATTCCATAAACATTGTATATTTTCAAAATTGGCACTTTTTAAAAATCTAAATTTTCCAATGTTCCCCTTTTATGAAAATTTCCCAAAGATTTTTTTTTGTAGATTTCCTTCTCCAGGATTTATTTTTGGCGTCATTTCTTCGAAAGCTCGTACCAGCACGCCAAGATTTATATCCTAGATTTTTTTTGGATTTTGAGCCAACTTTTTCAAAATTTTTCAATATTTATGAAAATTTCGCTTATTCTTCGATCACCTTCGAAAATTGCAGAAGTTATTGTGGCTTCAATTTCTTAGAAAACTCCTATTTTTCTAGAATCGTCCAATAAAATATGGCAATTTTTAGCTTTAAAAAAATGACTTTCAATCCGAATATTTAAAAAATCTTGCCCTGGTGCCATAAACATTGTATATTTTTTGAATCAGCACCTCGAGATCTACATCCCAGAATTTTTTGTGGATTTTTACGCAAATTTTTTCAATATTTCACTCTTTTGAAAATTTCGACCTTTTTTCGACCAACTTTGAAAATTGCCTAAGGAACATTTTTGTAGTTTTAGACTTGAATTTATTTTCCGTCTCGTTTCTTCGAAAATTCCTACCATATTTTCACAGTCGCCCAATAAATATGTCAATTTTTAGGATACAAAAGAAAATCTCTTTGATCTTTTTTCGAACACTTTCGAAAATAATTACCCAAATAATTTTTCCAAAATCGCCCAGTGAAATATAGAATTTTTAAAATATGTATTTAAACGAAACATTTTTTTTTTATTTTCTGACCAAAAATCATCGAAATTAAAAAAAAACTAAAAACGACAACAACACTTTTGTAATGGAACTACCTATCTTATTTGAAAGCTTTTGAAATAAATGTACAGTAGACTTAAATATAATAAATAGTAATGAGAAAAAATTAAAAGTAGCTGAATATTGAAACGAATTTTTCCCAGTTTTCAAATTTGATATTAATTTTGCACCTATTTAACTCTTATTTTGGTTACGTTATTAACATTGTCAAAAGTATTGATACTATATACTTTTAATTTATCCCCAAAATGTTTACCATTTTTAAGTAATTTTTACAAAAATTTGGTTACGTAGGAACCGGCCACGTCTCCATCATAATCCCCATCGACGGCCAAAAAAACAAATTCGTCATCAGCATCGGTCGCGAGCTCTACACAATCAAATGGGACGGTGAAACCCCCGACGTGTCCGATCTCACAAAAATAGGCGCCGTCGACGACAACCCCGACACCCTCTACAACCGATTCAACGACGGCAAATGCGACCCCACCGGGCGCTTATGGGTCGGCACCATGGGCGAAGAGCCCGAAAACGGCCACGTCGCCCGCAACAAAGGCGGCCTCTTCAGCATCGACTCCAGCCAAAAATTCAAAAAACACTTAAGCAACATCTCCATTTCAAACGGTCTGGCCTGGAGCAGCGACCTGAAAAAAATGTACTACATTGACTCGCTGAAAGTGACGATTGATGAGTACGAAGTGGATCTGAAACATGGCAGCTTGTGTATTTACAACACCGAAATAAAATTCAATAATTGTAATAATAAAGTAAAATTGTAGCTAACGGGAAGCCCATTTTCACTTTGGATAAGCACAAAATCCCTGGGTTTCCGGACGGGATGGCTATAGACACCGATGGGAATCTGTGGGTGGCGATTTTTAATGGTTGCAGAGTGATTAAAATAGATCCCCGCAAACCGGAAACTCTTCTTCAGACGATCGAGATTCCTGCGAAACAGGTAATGGGGGGTTTATTGGTGGTAATTGGGTGTAATTGGTGTGTGGTAGGTGACTTCGGTGGCTTTCGGGGGGCCGAATTTGGACGAGCTTTATGTTACAACGGCTGCTTTTACTGTGGATGGGGTGGAATTGCCTCCACCTAATCATGGGGCCACTTACAAGGTGACTGGAATTGGGGCTAAAGGCTTGCCCGGAGTTAATTTCAAGCTATAATTATATTACAATTTTATCTGTGTTACATAATGATAACGATAATAAAGTGATTAATAGAAAAACAGTTTTTTTTTCATTAACATAGGGTTAAATGCTATCACAGAAGTTATTAATGGAAAGATGATGAGGCTAAAATTTTATCCAAAATAAGTAACGGAAAATCACTGGAATCATTACTGACGTGTCATTTTTAAAATGAAAAAACCAACAGAATATTAATTAAATTTCCTAATCAGTTTATAAAGTGATAATAAATCAAAGTACCTTCAGATTAGTGACAGAACCCACTTTAGTCAAAACTATGATCATTATAAACCCAATAGGCGACAACCTCCAAGTAGGTACCAGGATTCACTGGGACGAAGCCACCCGAAGCCTGTACTACGTCGACCTCCCCCAGTCAACCATCTACAGGTACAAACCGGCTTCCAACTTGATCACAAAAGCGAAAGTTGGTAAGGGCCATTTTCGGTCGATAGTAATAAAGTCAACTTAAAATTATTCCCTCAGGAGACCAACCTTTAGCCTTCGCATTTCCCGTCAAGGGTAAAACGGACCGATTCATTGCTGGTCTTGGTCGCAATATCGTCATTCTTAAATGGGACGGCGAAACTGACAGTGTTTGCCATTGTACCACCGTTTGCGAGGTCGATGCACACCCAGATAAAGCTAAAAATAGGTTAAATGGGGCCAAAGTGGACCCTTTCGGCCGCCTATGGGTGGGCACCATGGGTCCTCAAGACGAAAATGGGCTCACTGTGCCCGGTCTTGGTTCGCTGTATAGTGTGACCAAAGGAAGTTGTACACGCCACTTAAGCAACATTGGGATTTCTAACGGTTTGGCTTTTGACGTTGACAACAAAAAAATGTACTACATTGATACGTTGTTCCCCGGCGTGTATCAGTTTGACTACGATGGAGAACATGGGGAAATTAGTAAGAATGGAAACACTGTCAACTTAATAATTTCAGTGAAATTGTAGGTAATCAGAAAGAACTCTTCACTTTTAAAAAACACGATATTCAAGGTTTACCCGACGGGTTAACTATCGACAGAGAAGGTAATTTATGGGTGACAGCACTTCAAAGTGCCTCCATCATACACTTTGATCCAAAAAAAGGCGAAGTGCTGAAGACAATCCACATGCCAACACCTCAAGTAACTTCAATTACTTTTGGCAATGACAAACTGAACATACTGTATGTAACCACAGCCAAATTACCCATTGATGGTAAAATTCCTGACGAGCCCGCTGGGTGCACTTTTAAATTGGAAAACGTCCATATTAAAGGTGCACCAGGTTATAGTTACAAATACAAGGATGATGATGATCAAGCAGTTTAAACTAGAGGCGCTTTATTGAATATAATATGAATAAAATAGCATCTGTACACACCATAACAAACTATATAAACATTTTAGTTGATTAGTACTTCATATAATTATTATCTTGTGCACCTAATAGCAACACAAAAATGAGCTTAATACTTCTTTTTTAATTCATTGAATCTCCTGGTTAAATCGTCAAAGTCAATGTCATCTGAAGCGTCAGGCGAAGGCGGTGCGTTTGATGGTACTGAAGGCAAATCAGGAAGATTATAACTATCCTCGTTCAATTTTCCCCTAGGAGTCGGTTTTTGCGGCTCGTCGTTATTCTGTCAATAGAAATACACTAATTTTTTAAAAATTGGCAAACCGTGTGTTTAAAAAAAAAGCGAGTGAGGAGTGTTTAATTTGTTAATTTTTGCTAAAACTAGCACGTATGTTAACACAAATATATAAATCCCACATCTGATGATCTAATGCGATTATAGCTATCAAGCTGAGTGAAAAATTACCTGTAAATTATCATCAGGAGGAACTTTGCTGTCCTAAAATCAACAGGATAATACTGAATATGTGTCCATTCAAAAATAAAAAACGCGCCGTGTTTCAGCTTATTACGAAATAAACGAAATAATAATTATTAATAAAAAGCATTACCTGCAAATTATTATGGGGAAAGACCATGCTATAAGTTGGTAAACTACCCTAGAAGCACAAACAAACAGTTAAATTAAGTAGTGAAAACGCAACTAATAAATTTTTAAAAATATTTTCAACAAAATTATACAGAAATGTCAAAACCAACGCCCTTAATAAGCTGAAACCCTTTTTTTTTTTTTCTAGTGACTAAACTACACAATTTTGTCGTTTTTCGTTTTTTAAATTTATTTACCATGAAATCTGTGTTGCTTTCTTTCCCTTCATCACTGGGAGGGATGTTGTATGAAAATGCTGGAGGCGGCGCGGTCGGGCCTGACGGCGGCATGTTCCAGTTTTGATCCTTTAAAGGCTGCCACAAAATAAATCAACAAATACAACCATTATTAGAAAACTTACTGGATAGGTAAATGGTGGCGTTGGCAGCGGATCCGTCATGGGAGGCAACGGCGGCGGCTGCGGAAACCCGTAAAAACCAGGGGGCGCAGGCATGCCGCCCCCACCAAGATTATTCCTATCTGATAAATCAATCAACATAGCGTCTTTCCCTACAACGTGAAGGAAATATTGTGTAATCAGAAAAAAACAACTACCTTTCTCTGTTTCCATGACTTGTGGGTCAGGTTCATATGGAATGTTGTAACATTTAGCGATTTCTATCACATACTTTTCAACTAAAAGCTTGGGTGGGCTTTGAATTGAAAGTTTATGCTTCAGCTTCTCACTAATTGATTCAATGGACTCCACTCTGCACGCTTCAGCGTAGTTGTGGCCGTATTTCGCCGTCAACAGGTCGGCGATCACTTTCAACTCTTGACAGTCCGATTGCAGCCGTGGTGCCACCCAAATTAAACTGGACACGGCTTCGGCAATCCCCTCGTCCAGTTCTTTCATGTTGGTTATCAAACCAAAGCGGGCTAACAATAAATCACAGTACATTTCGACGAGCTCCATGGCCTCCACCAAATAGTCTTCTCTGGAAAATCGCGCGATCACGCTATGTTAACAATGAATAAACGCATACCTTATTATGTGTTCAACCCTTATTTTCGCTCGTTCTATTTTTCCAGCAGTAATGAAATCCGCAATTTCCCGTCGCGACTTTTCCGTCAATTCAGTTTTCTTCTTTTCGAGAAGCTTTAGTCTGGAAATCGCCAGACGCAAGTTTGTTTTTAATTTAGTCAAATTGGGGCCGCTCGAAAACATTGTACTTGTTTTTGATTTGGTTTGAAAGTGAATCACAATTTATTATAAACATGAATCATCGTATGGTTAAATGTCAAACGTCAGTGTTTTTCAGTGACAAATAAAAAATAACTACATTTGAAAATTTATTACAACTTGAAATAAATAATTACACTTTAGTGTTTTTGACGTGTTTGGGTCTATAACTCCTGTTTTTAACATTGGCCACTTCATAGAAGTTGCTCCCGATTTTCTTGCGTTTTTGCGACCTCTCAACCGCTCTCTTCTGCTTGCTTGTCAATTTTTTAACCACAGGTACAGAATCGCCAGGTTTCGTCTTCTTTTTCTTCGTTTTGGTGGTTGAAATGTCTTCCACAGCAAACGGTCCGCTTGCAGACGCCGCATATTCTTTCTCTCTTGGCTCCATGTCAGAATAAACGTCACTGACTGAAGACGCATCAGATTCCATTCCATCATCTTCACTTTGTTTGTTTTCACTTTTAATAGAAATGTTTGTGTTGTCGTTATTGTCACCATCTTCCTCCTCAGCTTCATTACTTTCATCAACCGCTTTTTCAATATTTTTAATTGGTTGTAAGTCCTTCACATCTGCTCCCTCATAACTTAAACCAACCCTAATTTTACTAAAGTCTTGTACAACGTTGACGTTATTTTCTTCTTTTGGGGTTAATGGGTCTTCAAACCCTGGTGGACTGACGTAGAACGGCAATTTCCCTCTTTGCCAATCATTCAACACCATCCTTGCAACAATTGATATGTCTGGTTCACCCTTTTTCAACAACTTTCCAGACCTATGGGCCATTTTTTCCAAAAACTCAGTAGCAGTAGTCCAGTCTTCAACTTTGTAAGTTTTAATAAGATAATCTCTTCTAACTCGTTCCAAAACAGAGGCAATATAGTCTTCAGGATTATTCACAAGTTCTACCCTTACAACTCCTTTTAGCACTTTTTCAGTGTCTGTTTCAGCAGATGGGTAAACAACTCCAGGACAATCAATTAAGTAAATTCTTCTCATTAAAGTGATGTACTGCCAGACTTTAGTTTCTCCGGCGATTGGGGCCACCTTACAAACTTTTTTGCTCCTTAAGGTGTTTATAATTGATGATTTGCCTACATTAGGGTAACCAATTAAACCTACAGAGATTTGTTTCTTGTCTATGTGGAGTTTTGCAAACTGTCTCAAAATGTTGATTAAAGCTCCTTTTCCAAATGGATGCATTATACTGGCATGAAACGCAATTGTTGGATATTCTTTACTCAAAATAGCTACCCATCTCTGAGTAGCCCAAGTTGGTACCAAATCAACTTTATTTAAAATAAAAATCAAGTGCTTGTGGGGTTTTTCAGTTCTTAAATACTTCTCTAAGTACGAAGATCTGGTGCCCATGGGGTCTCTGGCATCTAAAACTTGTAATAAAACATCACTACTATCAACTACTTTGTATAGTTCATTCCAGATTCTTTTGGATTGTCCAGCTGCCATTACCCAATCTCTTGGTAAATCCCTGACCCCTTCATCATCCCTCACAATATTTGAATCTTTCTCATTACTGTACTTTTCTTGTTTCTCTTGAACTGCCTGTGACAGCTCCTCCACCCCCCTAACTGCAATATTCGGCCTCTTCCTACTCTTCTTTGGCCCAAAAACACTTTCAAAGCTTTCTGTATCCAATAAATGCACCCTTGCATTTTTAGCCTTTTCATTTAACAAGGTAATAGGGAGAGTGGTTGGTTTCATGACCATCTGGTAAGGATTCTTCACAGCAGCCCCTAATTCTGTTTGAAACTTTTGGAGGGCGTTTTGAGAAATGACACGGCTGTTCCCAAACCACTTCTGATTAGGTTCCACTCTAGCTTGAGTGCCTGATGCCAGCCACCCCTACAACAATTATTAAAACGGGTGAAAATTGTCACAATAGACTTACTTGGAAGGGCGCAGGGGTTATAATCTTTCCAGTTCTGTCACGTTTTGGTTTGAAATTTCTGTACATTTGCAACCGCTTGATGGTGGCTTTTGAACGCACTTTCGCGACGCCCTTGAGTCCTTCAGTTGGTCGTTCAGGGTTCATGGAATGGTTGGATTTGTTAAAGCCCTGTTTCCGGGGCGGGCCCCCCGTGGAACGTACTTTAGGCATCTACAAAAATAATTTTTCAAACGTGGACAAAAATTAAGGTTAAGTGACAACTTCTTGACGTGGTATAATTAAATTTATTAGAATTTATTAATAATAAAGTACCTTGATTTATTGAGAAAAGTAACTGTGTCTGAACGTAGAATTATGTTAAAATTAATTATAATTGAATTCCCACGTGTTTGCGAATTTGACGTACTTTTGACATTTGATTTGCCGCCATGACACTTGTTATTTAAATTATAAACGCTTCAAGCGTCCGTAAATTTGCATTAGGCTATTTATGGAAGAGAATTCGTAAAACTGTTTAATTATTCTCTTCCTATGTGTTTTTTGTGCAAATGGTGATCGTAAAATTGCGACAGTTGTTTTTTTTTTGTGCCAAATTGTCAGCAAATTGTCTGTCTAGGGTGTTAGTGCGCCGCGGTGTTGGTACCCATTCTCTCCAATTGTCAGAGTTCTTTCATGGTGAGGCGCCATGGCCGCCGATCAAGAGCAATTTTACCAAATACTAACAACCCTTTTGTCCACTGATAATAACATTCGGACCCAAGCAGAGGTAAGCAGAACCTTTTTTTACCAACCCGCTTTCCAGGCGCGATAAAATTGGGGCGCGCCACTTTGTAGTTCAAACAGAAATTAAGCCGAACTTTCCTTGCAACAACGTGTATTCACAGCATGGCCCTTAACAATCATAAAATTGGACTATGAATCATCATGGAGTTATTTGGTCATTTTTTGTCGCCTGCATACATTCTTCGGCGTGTTCGCCTTTCACCAGCAGGCTGATTTTTTCGCAATTCATTGCACTCGTGAATCCCGGTTATTTTTAGGTGGAAAAAGGGCGCCAAATTATTTATTGCGTGTGACGCACGATTTAATTCCCCCTCGTTCGCAGGAAGTCTACAACAATCTTCCCGTCGAGGCGAAAATCAGCCATCTTCTGGGGGCTATACACAATGGGAGTCTCGGTGATGAGGCCAGACAGATGTCCGCGGTGCTTCTGCGGCGGCTTTTCGCCAACGAGTTCATGGACTTCTTCCCCAAACTGCCCCCAGCGAGTCAAGCCCAGCTGAAAGAGCAGGTTCTTTTGGCGATCCAACAAGACCAGACAGAGCAGTTGAGACACAAAGTTTGTGAAGTGGCAGCTGAAGTTGCCAGGAATTTGATCGATGATGATGGGAACAATCAATGGCCAGAGTTTCTACAGGTGACTATTTTGCAAACGCGAACATGTACATGTCAATAATATGATTAGTTTTTGTTTCAATGCGCTAACGCGCCCAATAACGTCCTTAAAGAAGCGGCCCTGCAGATGTTCACAAGTGTACCAGGGGTTTTTGGAAACCAGCAAAACAACTATTTAGACTTAATCAAACAAATGCTGATGCAGAGTTTAGCACCAGCTGAAGCTTACGAGGTTAAATTCCAAGCGGTGAGGGCTGTGGGCTCTTTTCTCTTAATTCACGATAAAGAGACCCAAATCTTAAAACACTTCGGAGATTTGTTGGCGCCTATGTTGAACGTGATAGCTGAGAGCGTGCAGCAGCAGGACGACGATACTCTATTAAAAGTTTTGATAGACTTAGCTGAAAATACCCCTAAATATTTAAGACCCCAATTACTACCAATTTATGATATGTGTATGAAGATATTCAGCGACGCTGGAGCTTTGGATAGTTGGAGACAGTTAGCTTTAGAGGTAGATATTTTGGTTTAATTAACGACGATTGTTAATGATTGCGTTCAGGTGATGGTAACTTTAGCTGAGATGGCCCCAGCGATGGTCCGCAAAAACGCTGGAAAATACATGGAGCAACTCGTCCCTCTGATTCTTCAGTTTATGGCTGATTTGGAAGAAGAGGAGGGTTGGGCAGAAGCCGATGAAATTTTAGACGAAGATAATGACTGTAATAATGTAGTTGCTGAGGCTGCGCTTGATCGCCTTGCTTGTGGGTTAGGTAAGTCTTTCACATGTCAGATGTGTTTACTTTATGCGATTTATTGGTTTATTTTCGGATTTATTTGATACAGCGTTGGCATTTGCGTTTATTATAATTAGCGATTTTTTTGCTTTCCAGTGATGATGGAGTATCGAGTCATAATTTATATTTTGCATTAATCGCGTTGAATGTTTTTAATTTCGTGAGAAAATTATCATTTTTGGAATTAATTTAATAAAAATTGCGCAACAAGTGTGATAAAATTTAATGGTTGGTGCTAGGGACAATTTAAAGGATAATTAATAACTGTCCTTCAGTGGTGATGACATTGCACTAACAGATAATATTCGGAATTTTAATTAATCAATAAATTATTCACGTAAGTATTCGCCAGGGTTCAGTGAAACAATAAAGGTTGCTGTTTAATTACTGTTAAAAATGAAAACGGAGGGAAATGGGCTGGCGGGTGTTGGAGGTTTAATTTTTTTTTATTATTAATAAAAATAAATAAAAGCGACGATTGAATTAATTGAACAATTATTATGCAAATCTCCCACGGCTGCGATTAACTAAACCTCTCGTTATTGTTAAAAATTTATAAATGACCGTGATTCATAAAAGTTGTTATGGCTTTTTATTGTTTGGTAGTGCGTCCCACAGGTGAAGCTAGATGTGTTTTTATTATTTTATTGTTGAAAACTTAATAAAGCAAAGTAACAAAATTTTTACACAGAAGTTAATTGAAGCTTAAACAACTAATAAACATTTACGGTACTTAAATGTTTAATTTAGATGTTCCAGTAATTGGGAAAAATTACGTTGTTAAAACATAATAACGAGTTCAATGAAAAATTTGCATTTGTTTTTTCATTTTCTGCAGTAAAGCATTCATCGTGGGCCGAAGTGGAAGATTATAATATAATTTACTCCTCTGTTGTCTTAGTCATCCAAATTTTTTAAGTCGCGAGATTAATTCGTAAGAAATAAGTGCAATAAAAAATTGAAATGTTGATAATTTTTGACATTCTAGAATGTAGTCATTTTTTAGATAAATAAGATGAATTATCTTGTTTAATTTGGAAGTTTCAGAACACAGTTTGCCATTAATGCACGTATTCTACGCTGCAGAACAGCTTCCAAAACACACGTCTAGTACATTCCTCTCGTCTTATGCCCGGTGTTCATCATTATAAATAAACCGTCCTACTTATGCTGGGTTACTATGATTTTTTTTTTTGTAGGCCATTTATTTTATAAAATTTGTAGATTTGAAATAAATTAGTGTTGGAATTTTTTTTATATATAAAAATCAATCATTTAGTTTTTATAGCGCTTTATATTTTATTTAGTTATTTTCATTTTCTACGCATTTGAACGCATAACTTTTGGTTAAATTTAAGTTAAATTGTAAAGTGTTGCTGTACAATTTTAATTTTTTTACAAAATTTGAAATGTCTAGGGTAAAAACTAAACACGGATTCATAAACCACAAGTTTAGTATGGTGTTATTTTATAAAAGTTGAATATCGTTTGCTATTATTATCTGTCCAATAAAATTGACACAGGCGAGACACTACAAACAGACAGATTGCGATTTAAATCGGGCCAACCCTGAAATAAACATCGAAATTTTCCATAGTGAAAATAAAGATAAAGTATGAAACGAGGCGGAATTAAAAAACATTGCGTAAAATCACTTAAAAACAGATAAAATTATTTGCCAGAACATTCTTTCGCCTCAGAAACCGACGTCGTATTAAAAAAAAAAAACTTCTTGTAAGTTAAGGACTAAGTACTAACGAGTATTTCACCTAAAATTTATTTAATTGAGATGACGTCATAAATACTTTTTTTATAATCTGAGGCAAAATTTGGTATCCTAAAGTTTTTTTTTTCTAAGACAATTCGCCATTAAATCATCGGCGAAGAAACATAAGCTAATCAAGTCCATCGGGTGACTGGCTACTTTCATATTTTCTCGATATGTCACAACCCCTGAAGTACAAAAAAATAGTTCTCCCGTTTCCATCCGTCCGTCCGCCGTCTTATGAATATCATGTAGATGGTAAAACGCAAACTAAACTTATCAATAATGTGATGACGTTACCTCAAAATTAGACATAGTAAATGGGTTCTAAATTGTATTAAATAACATGGTTCCTATACGTGTAGTTTATGAATCCGTGTTGAATTTTTACCCCAGACAACCAGATTTTTGGAAAAAAATCAAAATTGTCTAACATTTTGCAGTTAATTTTGAGTCTGCAAAACCGAATGTTTTCAAATCTTGCGGACATTTTAAAGCTGACGTAAGCATGGTAAATTTTTAATCAAAATGTATCTGTTTATCCCCACAAAAAATGACGACGTCATCTCAAAATTTTACCGAATATGACTATCTAAAATGTGCACAATATGAGTCTAAACTTGTGATTTATCACATTAAAGAATGAGTCAGTTTATTAAATTAAAGTTTAGTAAAAATATAATTAAAAAAAATATATTGTCCTAAATTCTATATTTGTTATTATAAAATCGCACTTTGTCTCAGCACCTGTAAATTGAGTGATGAAAATGGAATAAGGGTGGGTGGGCGGGGCCACTTTTGACTTTGTTTTAAATCTTAAATTCACTCACTTGTCAAAATTGAATTCAATTCCCATTTTATAGTAAATAAGATAAGTCAGTGAAATGGCTAAAGGAGGTGGACTGGGTTGAGTTTACCTATTTTCTATAGTCTTATAATAAGCACGCAGTGACTGTTTATTTTCTTAGAGAGTATATTATTTGCCAAAATCAGTCTTATCTTAGCAGATACTACTGTCTTTGAGAATATGGCATCTACCAAAATAAGTCATCTTAGTAAATACTAGCCCCGCCTATTCGTGAGCCACATTAACTTGAATCATTAATAATTTTAAAATACTGTAATGCGAAAGGAGCATTTGTTTAAATAGTGCATATATTTTTAAATATAAAACAAAAAAACATTCGAAGAACAATAAATGTGTCATTTGACAATATTATTAGTTTTATCTTAGTAGGTTCTAGCCCCGCCCACCCGTGCTGTTCTCATTCTAACGATTTTATTTCTGTTCAGTATACATTCGGACCAAATGAAATGAATCACTGAAATGGAGGAGGGTGGGTGGGGCGGGTTAATTATATGATCTTTTGGAACTAATAGAACCTGGTCTTTAACAGGAAAGAAAAAAGCATGAAACGTTTTTTTTTTTTACTAATTGCAATGAGATTTATTTCTTATTTCAGAAGAAAATAATGTGAGGACGGGTCGGTGGGCGGGGCTAAGTTTAACTTTCTTCATTCTGGCGATTACTTTTAATACTGTTAATTAAAGACAACATTATTATTTTATTAGAATTTTTTCCTTTATATGATTTTTCATTATGTAAGTGTGAAAGCTGATGACAGTCGTTTTTCGAAAAAAAAAAAAAAATTAGTAAAAATATAATAAAAAATATATATTATTCTAGATTCTACATTTATCATTATAAAATCGAACTTCCGTCTCAGCACCAGTTAATGGAGTGATGAAAATGGAATAGGAGTGGGTGGGCGGGGCCACTTTTGACTTTGTTTTAAATCTTAAATTTACCCACTTGTCAAAATTGAATTCAATTCCCATTTTATAGTAAATAAAATAAATCAGTGAAATAGCGAAAGGAGGTCGGCGGGGTTGAGTTTAGCTATTTTCTATAGTCTTATAACTTATAAGCAAGCAGTGGCTGTCTATTTTCTTAGAGGGTATATCATTTGCCAAAATCAATCTTATCGTGGCAAGTGTTAGCCCCGCCCACCCGCCCTCTATTTTTTTGGAAAATATGTCATCTGCCAAAATAAATCTTACCTTAGTAAATACTACTGCCGCCTACTCGCGAGCCAGATTAGCTTGAATCTTTAATAATTTTAAAATATTGTAATACGAAAGGACCATTTGTTTAAATAATGTATATATTTTTAAATATAAAACAAAAAAACATTCAAAGAACCGAAAGTCAAAAACAAAGAAATCGTTAAATTAAAACAATAAATGTGTAATTTGCCAATATTATTAGTTTTATCTTAGTAGGTTCTAGCCCCGCCCACCCTCCCTTTAATTTCTTAGAGAGTATTTCATTTATCAATATCAATCTTATCTTGGGAAGTGTTAGCCCCGCCCATCCGCCCTCTATTTTTTTTTGAGAATATCACATTTGCCAAAATAAGCCTTATCTTATTTCAGAGAAAAATAATGTGAGGACGGGTCGGTGGGCGGAGCTAAGTTTAACTTTGTCCCCCAGAGTTTCTAAGAAAGCAATGGCCCCGCCCACCCATCCCCTCTTCATTCTGGCGATTACTCTTAATACTGCTAATTTATGACATTATTTTATTAGAATTTTTTTCTTTATATAATTTTTCATATTTAAGTGTGAAAACTGATGCCAGTCGTTTTTCGAAAAAAAATAAAATTTAGTAAAAATGTAATTTAAAAAGTATGTTATCCTCGATTCTAAATTTATCATTGTAAAATCGAACTTCCGTCTCAGCACCAGTAAAGTAAATTGAGTGGTGAAAATGGCATAGGGGTGGGTGGGCGGAGGGGGGGCCACTTTTGAATTTGTTTTATATCTTAAATTCTATCACTTGCCAAAATTGAATTCAATTCCTATTTTACGGTAAATAAAAAAAATCTATTTTTATAATTTTTTCGAAAAAGCTGGATATGTAGTAAGATTTAAATAACACTGTTCTAATTAAGAACACTGCAGATGTGTTAAGTTTGTTTTTTGGAAAGGATTACTAAAGACAAACATGTTCGCAACTTTACAACAATTTTGAAGTGTTCATTTAAAATTGAAAGTAATCGGTTTGGTAGTTTTAGGGTTTATCATCCTAATACGGTTAATAAAAAAGCCAATAGGTGGAAATGGGAGACATTGTCGTATTCCACAATATTTGAAACTTTCAGAAAACATCAAATTAGATATAATAGATAGATTTAATATTGCAGGTTACTAAAATTTCTATAATATTTATATACAATTTAAGTTAAGTTCGTTTTCGGGATTTTGGACTAATATAAATATAAATCAAACCAAAAAATAAAAAAAGTGTTTGTTTGATTTATACATCAGTCTAAAATCTCGAAAACGAACTTAGCTTAAGTTAGCTAACATTTTCCCATGAAAAACACGTGAACTATGTTGACTGGCGGTAATAAAAGCTGGCAGTCGCCAACATTCTTTCCTCGACCGCTGCTATTTTTAAAACGTCTTTTTCATTTTTTAAACCAAATTTGTACTATAAACATCCGTAGAAATAAACTTTTTCGGATTAATAAAAAAACAAAATTATATTTTTCAATAACCCTAAACGCTTTATAGCTGCGTTTTTTGCACGTAGTAATTTTAGCTCCTACGAAGTACGAATATAACATTTAAACATTAACGAAGTTAGAAAAACACTCTGATTTTTTCCAGGCGGTAAAGTAATTTTACCTCTTGTAACTCAAAACGTGCCAGCAATGTTGGCCAGTCCAGATTGGAAACAACGACATGCAGCTCTGATGGCCCTAAGTACCATAGGAGAAGGCTGCCACAAACAAATGGAAGGCATGTTACCCCAGATCATGGACGGCGTACCGGGAGTGATGGACGGTGTCCTCAGATACCTCCAAGACCCCCACCCTCGCGTCAGATACGCCGCTTGCAACACCATAGGCCAACTTTCGACAGACTTCGCCCCCGTTTTCGAAAAGAAGTTCCACGATAGAGTCGTCCCGGGACTGTTGATGCTCTTGGACGATAACTGCAATCCAAGAGTGCAAGCGCACGCCGGTAAGACACTATTACTAATATCAGAAGAAAATTGTCTTCACTGACGTGCTTGTCTTCGTATTACAGGTGCTGCGCTTGTCAATTTCGCCGAAGACTGTCCTAAACACATCCTCACAACTTATTTAGACAGTTTGATGTCAAAATTGGAGGGAATTCTCACCGCTAAATTCAAAGAGTTGGTGGAGAAGGGTACGAAGTTGGTGCTCGAGCAAGTCGTGACTACCATTGCGAGTGTCGCCGATACGGCAGAGACCGAATTTATCGCCTACTACGACAGGTTGATGCCCTGTTTGAAATATATCATCCAAAACGCCAACAAAGAAGAACTGAAGTTGCTCCGAGGCAAAACCATTGAGTGCGTCACTTTGATCGGTATGGCTGTGGGGACTGACAAATTCATGGCTGACGCTACTGAAGTTATGGATATGTTGCTGAAGACGCACGGAGAGGGGGCCGAATTGCCGGACGATGACCCCCAGACCAGTTATTTAATTTCGGCGTGGTCGCGCATATGCAAAGTCCTCGGAAAGAACTTCGAGCAGTACCTCCCTCTGGTGATGGGGCCCGTGATGCGCACCGCCGCCATGAAGCCCGACGTCGCCCTGCTCGACAACGAAGACATGCAGGGCGTCGAGGGCGACGACGACTGGCAGTTCGTCTCCTTAGGCGAACAAAAGAACTTCGGCATCCGCACGGCCGGGCTCGAGGACAAGGCCGCCGCCTGCATGATGCTCGTCTGCTACGCCCGCGAGCTCAAAGAGAGCTTCGCTAACTACGCCGAAGAAACCGTCAAACTCATGGTGCCGATGCTGAAGTTCTACTTCCACGACAGCGTCCGAAACGCGGCCGCCGAGTCCTTGCCGTGGCTGCTCGAGTGCGCCACCTGCAAAGGCCCCGCGTTCGTCCAGGACATGTGGAGGTTCATCTGCCCGGAATTAATCAAAGCGATAGACACCGAGCCGGAGAGCGAGGTGTTGATGATCTTGTTGGACTCGCTGGCGAGGTGCATCCAGACTCTGGGCGCTGGGTGCCTCGACCAGGAGGCGATGACGGAGATGTTGAGGATCATCGATAAGTTGATGCAGGAGCACTTCGAGCGGGCCAACGACAGACACAAGAAGCACTTGGACGAGGATTACGACGAGGTTGTTCAAGAACAACTCGAAGACGAGGAGTCGGATGACATTTACGTTCTGAGTAAAATCTCGGAAGTGATACATTCTCTGTTTTTGGCGTACAGGGAGAGTTTTATTCCGTTCTTTGATCAGATTTGCAGCCACTTTGTCAATTTGTTGGTGCCGACTAGGCCGTGGGCGGATCGCCAGTGGGGGATTTGCATTTTTGACGACGTTATCGAGTTCACGGGGCCAGCGTGTGCCAAATACCAGGGGTTGTTCCTGCAGCCTTTGGCCTTGTACGTGAAGGATAAGAGTCATGAAGTTAGACAAGCGGCGGCGTATGGTTGGGGGGTGCTGGCGCAGTTCGGCGGCGAACAGTTTGCGGGGGAAGTGGCCAAAATTATTCCGTCTTTGGTGGAAGTTATCAGCGATCCAGAATCGAAGGATGCGAGGAACATAAATGCGACTGAAAATGCGATAGCTGCGGTTACGAAAATCATGAAATATAACGCTTCTGCAATTAATTTAGACGAAATTATGCCGCTGTGGTTCAACTGGTTGCCGGTTATCGAAGACGCGGACGAGGCGCCACACGTCTATGGCTATTTATGTGATCTGGTGGAGCAAAATAATCCACACGTTTTAGGTACGATTTAACCAAAGTCGCTCATTTTTTACTAATTTCATTTGTCAACAGGTGCAGGAAATTCAAATATTCCCAGAATTATCAACATACTCGCTGAAGCCTTCTACAGAGAAGTGATTGATCCTGGTAAACCCGAAGGCTTTAGAATGGTCAATATCATTAGGCAGGTCCAGTCCAACGAGTCGTTCTTTCAAAGTGTAGTGCAGACTTTAGCTCCAGAGTTGCAACATGCCCTACATGTTGCTCTTCATGCGAGAACTTCATCTTAGTTAATTTTTTAATAAGATTTCTTTTTATATGAGATGATAAATTTTAAAGCATGAGTTGTAGCTGACTATTTTTATGTTTAATTATTTTATGGGATCTATTCCAACTTCTTTTTTACAAAATTAATGATTAAATTATTTCAATGTAAATAAGTTTTGCAACTCTGGACTGTATGTGATACTCTTTTCTTTTGGATAGCATCGAGGACGAACATATTTTTGATTGTTAGTGTTTTTAAATATATTAAAGAAAATATCGACATGATGTTAAGCCACTTCAATAAACTAATTTTCTCTAGACTGCCTTTGCCATACTTTTCTACTTTGTACTTAAAATCGTTCAATAAATACTAACATTGGGTCAATAAGCATTCAATAATTGAATCGTTGATGAAGTAATTATAAAACCTAGGTTCACTTTCAAAAAGTCGTTTCGTTTAATCTAATTCCCTAATGTTTTAAGGTCCTAAGTGCAAAATCGATATTTCCTTATGCAAATTTTCCATTTTATCTACACATATTAAAACAAAAACGCAAAATATAAGCCCGCCCACCCGCCCTATCCCAATTGTCATGATTTTTTTTATTCGCTGTGAATCAAGGGGCCCGAGCTTAACTGCAAAATACTTTAATTACAATAAATTAAAACCATGTTTTTGAGTATCGTGTTGTTCAAACGATGCTATCTATATTAAAAAAAAGGTAAAATATAAACCCCGCCCACCCACCCCATCTCAATTGTGATGAATTTTTTTATTCTTAGAAACCTTTAAAATGGTAAATTTTTATAAGAAAACATCGTCCCTAGATCTGCCAACGAATGAAAACTTCCTTACTATTTAGATCAGGGCAGGATGGGTGGGACTTAATCTTGGGCTTTCATTTTTTCTTAATATGCATAGTTACATAGTATTCTTTGAATAACATGGTACTCAAAAACATGTCTTACATGGTAATTTCTTGTAGAGAAATAATAAGGATTTTGTAATTAAATTCTGCTTTGGTTCTCGACAATTAAAAAAAAATCATCTCAATTGAGATAGGGCGGGTGGGCGGGGCTAGATTTTTCCTTTTTTTTTTTTCTTAATCTGTGCAGACTTATTTCGATCACAAGAAAACCTAAAACATGTCTAAAATTGTAAATGTTTGTAGTAATCAACTTAAATCCTCCACTTTTTTTTATACAACCCTTTTAAATACGGCAAAAGTTGAACATCAAAGTTACTATCAACGGCAACTTGGCAAGAGAATTTATAAGTGACAATTTTCAGCTATAAAAGCAAGGTTAGCGGGAACTTCAAACTCAACAGCAAGTTTATAAATCCCATTTTAATTCGTCTGTTGGATCAAAAGTACCATATTGGAGTAAAAATTGTCTATTAGTAACTTTTGAAATTTAATACTAAAAAAATTGTGGCAACACTGACTTGTAACGCCATCATAAGTTTCATGGCCTACTAGCCAACTTTTTTTTTTAATCATGCGATATTTTTAAGTTTGTCAAAAACCTACTTTCGCAAAAATCTGTAGGAATTTTATTGGGGCTTTCTGAATTGATAGGATGATTGGATAAAATAGGTAAACTTTGATATAAACAAAAATAAACACCACGTTGGTGTCAACTTTTATTAAAAGCCATTATAAAATACTCTTCACTTGGCTTTCTTAGACTTAATCTTACGCATGTAAAATTCTAGTTCCTTTCCTTCCAAAACGTAACCATCTGCTCTTCCACATTGTCCAGGTCGGGATGCCAAGCAAGCTACAACAAAACCACCCATTAGAAAAAATCCAACCACATCCACGTGCTACAATAAGCACAAAATTGAAGTCAGAGTAACTATGACAAAGCAAATCATTGTTCGAAGGCAGATTCAAAACGAAAACCACCAAAAGATGAACTCGCTTAAAATTTTTCATCACAGTAAAAACGAACGTGAATTTAACCAATACTAAACCAAACTCACCTAGAAGTCTACCGGTTTGGAACTGCTCCTCAAGAGCTGGCTCCACTTTCGCCGTCTTTTGCCGTGTTTCATATTTCTTTTGCACCTTTTTGCTGCGTTTCTTATTCAAAATGGCTTCTTCTTCAGGAGTCTACAATAAAACAAAGTATGAGTACAACTAGGCACTATTATGGCCTCACACCACTTAAATTCATCAGCAAAAGGCCAAATCTTTTTAATCATGCATAGTATGTCATATGACACGCAATCAAACTCATCATTTTCACTTATAATAAACAAAACAAACTTGAATAGACTCACCAACTTAGCCCCCTTCTTGCGTCCAAGAGGTAAAACATAGTGGCCTTCGTACCACTGTCTGAAGGGAGTGGCATCAACCACAACAATGGCATTCTTCACCAAAGTTTTGGTACGGACCAACTCGTTGTTGCTCGCGTTGTAGACGACGTCAATGATACGCGACTTGCGAGCGGTGCCTTCGCTACCCCAAGCGAAATTACCAGTGTCTAACCTCAAAGCTCTGTATTTCAGGTTGCCACCACGCGTGCGGACATAGTGGATTCTTCTGGGGCCCAATTTTGTATTGGCGGCCGGACGCCCTAACTCAAACTTCCTCTTCTTACGGAGAGGTTTCCTTTTACCTCCCGTAGCCCTCCGTTTATGCCAATGGTCTCTGCTGATACCTAAAACAAGCAATCGTTATTCAAGTCCCAAACAAAACTAAATATGACTAATTTTGGGGTAATCAGATCGCTGTGGGATGTTTTTTTGTCGTCAGCACAACACATAGGACAAAATTAACAAAACAATTCATCATAGTGAAAATGTGTTATTGTTGGACAAGTTAAAGGTTAAGTGCAAAATATTACCAATAGTTCTATTAAATTCACGAAAATTTGGATTGAAAACTACTTTACTAATATGCAGCAATAATACTAGCGTATTTTAGATACAAGAAAGCAACTAATAAACACGGATGATGATAGATTTTCTAAAAATATTCTAGCACGTACTCACCCATTGCGATGAAGTAAACTGAAAGAACGAAACAAGAGAGGAAGTTACTAATCTCACGGTACGAAAGTCCCTAGATTGTGTCTAATTCGTAGCGGGAAAACGTTTGGTTTCAAAATCTTTAAACGTTGAATCAGCAGTTTTATTATTATTACAGTAGTTCACCGTTTTTGGATCACGAAAAACAACAAAACTATGAAAGTAAGTTTTAAAAAATATATAAACGTGAAATTCGTTTCCGGTTTAGGGGAAAATTAGAAATGTCAAAATGGCCGACGACGCGGAAAGCGACGACCAGTGGTTATACGGCGATCAGCAAGAAAATGCTCACGATGAAGCCCCACCTGAAGCCCCTCCGGCCGACGATCCGGCCCCCGAACCCACCGAAAACAGCACCGAGCCGGCTCCAAAGGTGCGTCCGAAAACAAACCCAAAACCTTTTCTAACCTCACTTTCAGGTTGTTGACGACGATAAACCGCCAGGCGTGGACGATGAACCCCCTGAAAAAGAAGCAGCCCCACCAGACGAGAAAGAGGATGAAGAGGACGGCGAGGTGCGGCAAAACGGCGAAGAGGAAGATCTCGACGATGATAGCGACGACGACGTGAACGTCGTGATTGGTGATATTAAGACAACCCCGTCGTACACGTCGCTGAATATCAAAAGAGGGAACTTGTTGACAACTACGGCGCCTGTGGATAAGAGTAAACAGGCTCAGCAACCGGGGAAGTTTTCGGTTGATGAGTTTGACCAAGCGGGGATGATCAATGGGGTTCCCGCTACTGAGTATAACTTGGATTCGTTGGAGGACAAGCCGTGGCGAAAACCGGGAGCGGATATTACGGATTACTTTAACTACGGGTTCAATGAGGATACGTGGAGGGCGTACTGTGAGAGGCAGAAACGGTACTCGAGGAAGTTATTTGTTGTTGGGTGAATCAATTTTTTTAAATTTTAGGATGAGGATGACTGAGTCTGGAGTCGGTCTAGCGGCGCAAATGACTTCAATTGCAAGAGGTACTGTGCCTATTATGAATGACAACAGTAAATATTCTGGTAATTTCTTGGGGATACGCAAAGCAGGTCCGCCACCAGGTCGGAGGATGACGGGGTCTATTGACGTGATTGGGGGGACGGCGCAAAGGGCGACACCTACTCCAGTCGGGAAAGCGGAACCACCTAAAATGAATGTGATTCAAGTATTAGTTTAGAAAAATTTGGTTCTTTTTGTTGAGTTTTTTGTTGTAGGTGATGACAGCTGACAGGAGGGAGTACAGTAGGAAACCTACAGGATTTCCTGATATGTCGGTCCCTCCACCTAGCACGTTTGAGGAGTTTCAACCAGAGTATGGGTTCAATCCTGAACCGGAGCCTTTCTATGGTGGTTACGAACCAACTCAAGATTCACAATGGGGTCCTGAAGGTGAACCTCCCAATTGGGCTCCCTCTGAAATTAAGTCTTTGACTCCTGGTCCTAATCCTCTAGGACCGCCACCTAATATGCACATGGGGCCTCCAGTGAACATGCCAATGCCTGTACCTTCACCCAGGAAAGATAGTCCTGGAAGGAGGGACTCCAAAGAAAGAGAACGAGCCAGAGATGTCAGCAGGGGGAGATCTGAGCGACCTAGGGATAGGGAAAGGGAGAGGTCCCACAGGAGGGAAAGGTCAAGGAGCAGATCTCGAAGACACAAATCAAGATCTAGGAGCCCCAGTCACCGACATAGAAAAAAGAAGTCTAGGCGACACGATGAGAGCGACTAGCATTTTAATATCTTGTAGATATAAGTTGATTAAGAAAGAATATGATTATAAGCCTTTAAGCATCTGCTGTGTGAGCATCAAGTTTTGTAATTTATTTTCTGGAATAAATGAATCCTGTTGAGAGTTTGAAATTATTTGCTTTGTGTGAATAGAGTTCCGCGAATTCAAATATAAATTATTAATTAAAGGATTATTGTTAATCCGATTTTAAAAATTAATCAATGCAGATTGTGCGCATGCGCAGATTCCAACCTATAACAAAAATAGGAGAGGTTCTGTCAAAATTAAACCGAGTTTGTGTACGTTCGCAAGAATACTCTCCTAAATATCGATTATTTTGGTATTGTGCGTAAAAAATAACCAATTCGTTAAGCCATGTAAAACTGTGGACCAGAAAATCGGTTTTCCGGTATCATGTAAGCTCCAACAATTTTCTGGTACCTAACCTGAAACGGAAATTTTGCGTGACAATTTTTCGATGAAGATCAATTAAAACAACAACGTTTGAAGTAGATATAGCTAAAATAAGTGTGTCAATGTTTTATTTAAAGTAAAGTGTCCCCGCCGCCCCATCATCACCCCCCAGACGTGGACGAAACACCACTTCAAAATGTAAGTCGCTTTCGCCCCCTTTAATCATGTTTTCTGCTTAAACATCACATTGCGAAACTCGATACTTGTTTACCGGCTCGAAGAATGTCGCATTGTCTTGTGTCTAGCACAAGAAACCGTAAGTGACCCCAGTGCTTTTTGTTTTGCTTGTTTTTGCCCCGCTTATTTGTCTCTTTTTTCTGAGTCTAGAATGTGTTGCCAAGCTGGTTCTCCACGTTTCCTGATATTCAGCTGTTAGGGGTCAAGGTTAGTAGGGGGCGGACACCCCATGATGCAAGCATTTAATATTACTTAAACGCTAGCACGTTTTCATGAAATGAAACCACCAAACACTTGGCGTGATAAATGTTTCGGTTGCTTCCTTTTCACCATAAATTCGTTGTTGCGAAGATTAATCGCCTTTTTTCCATACCGTTCGAAAGTTTGTGTAAAGGGGTTTCCGAAATAATTACGCCCAACAGCGCCAGAAAAGCCGTCCATCATGTGCAGATTTTTTACCGCTTGTTAAGAGTGTCTAGAAACAGAGAAAAAAAGTGTAGATCGATTCCCTGTTGCTGAAGTGCCAGTTAATTGATATGCAGACCAGAACATCGAGCTGACAACTGATAAAAAATTCCAAAGGCCAAAAAACCTGTGTGTGCTTCGTAGTGATCATCGAACATTACCAGCACTATTTTTTGAGTTCTGGGATTCGATGACTCAAAAGCCATGTAATATCCTGATAAGTTGGAGTGTTTTTGCGCTGCTGATACGTTTTTACAAACTCGCTTTGTTGATACAAATTTCAAACACTTTACATAAGTTTTGTAGATAGCACTTAACTTTTACACGATAGCGGAATTTTCTCGAAAGAGCTTCAAAAGCATAGGCGCGACGAACTTTCTAGATTAGCCTTAGCGAAAACTTATTCTTAGTGACAATATTTTACAATTTACTTTATAAAAGAAATAAACCTAGATTTTGATCCTGGACACTGTGTTTAAAAAAATATTCTAAAAACTCCGTGCGATAAAAGATTACTGGGAAACCGCTCCCTTTGTCGGCGCAGAGTCGCCGCCCATGCCTCCAACTATTCGATTTTGTTGTACACCGTTCGAGATAAATTGTCAATTACGACGATAATCTCCTGATTATCAAACTTGAATTAACATTTTATATTGTCATTGCGACCTGTTCAAAACATGTTCTGAATGTAAATTATCTCATCTGGTCGTGTCGTTTCAGTTTCCTGACTTTTAAACACAATGATGGGGGCCATCTTCGTTAAGAAACGTCGCAAATTTTATTAAAATATTTTCGTTGGAATTTTTGCGACGCAATTATCCGTCGTTAAAAGATGTTCGACCATGGTGTAACAAAAGCCATTATTTCGGCTTTTGATTTCTTGTTAAGTCTTCCATGGTGGATTATTTAAGAAATTGGCCTTTTCCTGCTACAAAGCAAGCGAAATGGTCAATTAATAATGATCAAGCCTCGGATCGGCAGACAGCTACATAGCGAACAATAAATAAAAGTAACCGTAAAAATCCAAGAACTACAGTCAAAGATAAATTAAGTTGTCTAAGGTGGTTTTGGTGAACAATACTTGAATTTTTCGAACCTAAAAACGCTAATCATTGTTTCCGTTCTTTATGATAAGATTTCAGATTTATTGACCACCATTGTTCTAATGCAGATACTTAATAAATAAGTACATACGTTGATAAATATAATTGCTACCATGTATTGTTTTCAGCTTTAAAGATCCTCTATTGTTCAATTAATTTGTTTGGAAATTAAAGTAATGACTGTAATGTTTTTGCGAAATTGAAGTCCGCGTTGGCTGCGTCCAACAAATGCATGTTTGTTTTTTGTAGCCAATTACTAGCTTACTTTTGTTGACAATACGTGTATAAAAGGAGCGTAATTGCGGTAGGTAAATACCATTAATTATGGTCGTTGGTGTAACGTACGGTGTTTATTTGAACGTTGATAATAATCGTAGAATGAAATGTGTGTGACAAATTGTTTGCTTTTCGTTTCCATTGACAATACACTATCAAACAAGGTATTTACCGAAAGGAGCAAGAACGTCATGAGGCAGTAGCTGGAAATGAGATCGTTGTAATCCGGCAGATTGTAATCTGACGACATGCTAAATACAATCATTGTACTGTAAAATTCAAATTATTGTCGCGTATCATAGCTTATCTTGCAACGCTTAAGGAATCAGCGGCACCATAAATTGTGATTTACAACATGAAGTTAAATTACTCACAACGCTATTAATAATTTTTACTGTTTTTGTTTGAACGTGGACCGAAATTGTGTGAATGTAGGTTTCCGCAGCGATGTAGAAATTCGAGAACTGGCTAAAATAAAATGCACTTTTTCTAGCCGAGTTACATAATGGCCACAATTTGCCTTCCTGAAGGTTAAAATAATAACAGGTTTGCAATAACAACATTCTTTTTCGTATTGGCATAGACAGAATCTGCTAAAGTTGTTTCACGTGAATGTCACGATCGGTTTGGATTGTAGAAATTTTGTGAACGCCGTTGTTTATAACCAGATCTAGAACGTGGTATATTATTTTCAGCTTGAGGGTGTAATGACGATTTTGTAGAAGGTTTTATTGTGTATCTTACGTAATGCCACTTTTCCTACTTACTATTCATTCTGTTCTTTCTAAAAGTTCTATTTTATTATTATTTTGAAAATTCAAAGCGAAATACTATAATTTTTGTAGCATAGTAAAGATAATTTAATATAAATTATTTATCTGTCTAATGAGAATGACAATATGATATACTCTAGATCAGTGGCGGTTTGTCGATAGTGTCAATTGGTCAAACAATTAAAAAATAAAATCTGACATGAACAAAAAATTGGTCCAAGGTTATTTCGATAGACCTTCCCGCGCCCTTGAAGTACAGTCCAAAAACAAATCTAGTGTGTTTTTATCAGTGTACATGCTTAACTTCGATTGTTTATGTTTATCCATGTACCGATATATACGCCACTACTCCATGAAGTTGATATACTGTGTTAGTGGTAACATGTTTTTATACTGTGTTAATTTGTTTGCGAAAATTTGGCCGTTTCTTGAAAAAAATCAAAAATGAATTCGTACACCACAAGTATAGGAGTATATTATTGTATAACATTTAACCCACCACATCGGACGCTGTAATTGGTTTGGTGCTCGTTGGTGTTTGGTTTAGTAATAATTTAGACATCAGATTGTTGATGGGAATGATCAGCCAAATTTTAGTTAGCGTTTTATCATGTACATGATATTGCTAATCTACATACAAAATTTGACGACAATCGGCCCAGTGGTTTCGCAGATTATCTGCCTAATAAAAATCTACAAAGACATGCAGACAGACAGACAAACAGACGGAAATGGGAGACCACTCTACTCGTACTCTACGATCATGAAACACACCACAGTTTAATTCTTCTATTCGTAAACACCCCAGATTCGATCTGCGAGAAATTTTCTATAAAAAAAGAAAAATCGAAAAATTGAAATACAAAAATGGAGAAACTGAGAAATCGAGTAATCCTGAGAATCGGGAAATTGAGAAATCTATCAATCGAAGAGACGAGAAGCGAAAAATCCAAAAATTAAAAAAAATTACACTCCAAAAACGGAAAATTCAGAATTCGAAAAATCACAATTCGAAAAATAGGAATGAAAATTCGAAAAACCAAAAAACCGAAAAATGCAGAAACAAAAAACTAGAATTCGAGTACTCGAAAAATTGAAATATCCAAAAATCCAACAACCGAAAAAACGAAAAATGGAGAATTCGAAAAATCAAAAAAGTAAAATTTGGAAAAATCTAAAAATCGAAAATTGAGAAATTGAGAACTCGGAAAATTGAAAAATCAAAAAATGAAAAATTAAAAATTCGAAAAATTGATAAACCGAGAATTCGAGAATTGAGAACTCAAAATCGGAATGCAGAAAATCGAAAAATCGGACAATTAAAAAAAACACAAATTGAGAAATCGAAAAATCTAAAAAACTTCGATAAAATAAAAAAGAAACTCGAGAAATTGAGCACTGGAAACATCGCTAAATCAAAAATTGAGCATTTGAAAAATCGAGAAATTGCAACATTGAAAATGGAGAAAACTAGAATTCGAGAACTCGAAAAATCGAACAATCGAGAAATCGAAAAATCCAGAATGAAAAACTGGAAAACAAGAAAATGAAAAATCGAGAACTCCACAAATGGAAAAATCCTTAAATAAAAAAATGAAAATTCAAAAAATCTAGAAATCGCGAAACTGAAAATCGAAAAATGCAGAATTAAAAATTTGAGAAATTGGGAAATAGAGAAATCGAGAAATCGAGAAATTGGGAAATCGAGAAAACTAGAATTCGAGAATTTAAAAAGAAATTAAAACATCGAAAAATCGAACCGAAAAAACAAAAATTTGAGATTTCGAAAAATCAAAAAAACAAAAATAGGAAAAACCTAAAAATAGAAAACTGAGAAATTGAGAACTCGGACA